ATAAACAAGTGCATTTAAAGCTATTCTTAGTTTATAGCTTCCCATTCAGATGACTTGGATGCGTTAATCTTGTAGAAAAATACCAATACAGAGAATGAGGACTGTAGCAGAAACGCATAAAAAGATTTATCATATCTCCTTTAGGAGATTTTAAAGACTGACCCAGTTCTTCAACACATTGAGACATGGATTACCTCACTGAGTAATGCAACTCAGAAATGCTAAATGCTTGTCAGAACAGAGTTAGTTAATAAGTGTTCTTAGCATTATCAAATGTACGGGATTAGAAATAAACTGACAAATGTGTTCCAACATCAAGAAGGAAGGAGCTCTGCATACCATCAGACACTGAGCTGGTTCCAAAGTAAGAGAAAATATCTTCCGGATCCAATGCTCTGAGAAATTTCTGCAAGAAGAAGAATGGTTTTACTTTATTATTTATTTTTTTAAAGAAAAACAAATGGATGCAAGACTATTATTTAACTGAACCTAACCTAGAAGAAACATCAGCAAACAATTCAACAAGTATCAATGCCAAGTTCTAATGGTTTTAGTTTGCACTAAGCATATGCTGTACAATGGCCACCCAGAGGAAATAACTTTATCTTCTTGATTAGTGAGGTTTGATACATTTTGGCTTAGAACACATTGCATTTTCTCTCCTCTTTTTTTTTTTTTTTTCCTAGAAATAAAAAAGGCTTCCTGGAAACTGCATTTTCTGGAGGTCAAACTTACCTCTTGGAGAATGGATGGCCAACAAAATCCCGGAGGGAACATCATGAGAGCTCGGATCATCAAGCTGATGATGATCATGCTGGAAGAATTGCAACCAGTGCGGCAGGGTAAACTCTGGCCCAGGGGTGATTAAAATGCTTAGCCCAAGGCATCACGTGGAACGGAAGCGAAGAATACACAGTTTAAACAAACAGGAGAGTTGATTTTCTGCAGAGAGGGACAGTTGAGGGGGAATCGAACTGCTGCGGGAAGCTTTACAGGAACAGCTGTAGGGGCAGAGCTTTTTGCGCAACGTTTGCAGCTTTATCACAGCCAGAGAGCGCAGCCATAAGAGGAGTTTGGGGCAGTTTTAGCAGCCAAATAAACAAGGTACAATTTGCAGGGAACTGGGCTCCAATTTGTTCAACCTGTGCCTTGCTGCTCCCTGCACCTCGACTCTGCTGGAGCCTCAGACATACTGTGAAGCATGGCAAGACCCAGCACCTCGAAACCATGAGCCAGGCCCTGATGGTGGCCACACAGGGTGCATACAATCGTGGAACAGAAGCAAAGAATATACAGTTTAAACAGGAGAGTTGATTTTCTGCAAAGAGGGACAGTCCCTCAGGGAGCCACCGGCCCGCAGGTCCTGCCCCCCAAGCACGCAGACAACACCCTCGTGAAATCCCCAGCTTTATTGAAACCTCAGCATTATTGAAATCCCAGCTTTATCGAAGCCCCAGCTTTATTCAACCCCCTTCCCCAGCCTTCCCTCTCCTCAGGGCTCGCCCCACGGGCGGCTCAGCGCCGAGCACTCCCGCAGCCGCCAGGGGCCGCCAGCGCAGACCCGGCCCCGACGCCCGGAACCGCAGCGCGGGGCCACGTTCCCCGCCGGGCCGCTGCTGCGAGGCGCTGAGGAAACGGCGGCCGCCACTCCCTTCGATTCCCGTTCCCCGTCCCCTCATGGCAAAACGGGGCCCCGCGGAGCCCGGGGCGGCGGGGCCGAGCGCCGGGAAGGGCAAGAAGAAGAAGAAATTCCGGCGGCGCCCCCCGAAGCCGGCCGCGCCTCAGGGCCCTAAGATGGCGGCGGGCCCGCCCCGCAGCCCTCAGGAGTTCTCCGCCAACTGGAAGGCGCTGCAGGAGGTGAGGGCGAGCTGCCGGGCCGGGGATGCTGTCGTTTTCCTTGCTAGCGCAGTTCCCTAGCGCGTATAGTAATGAAAAAATACGCATTTGTGTTAAAATAACCCGCAGGGGAGGTGCCGTTGCAGTAATGCCCCTTCAGCCAGGTAGAGACCCCTGGCTTCACCCTGAGGCGCTGTGTGGAGTACTCTGACAAATGACAGCAGGATAGAACTGAAGGGATATAATCTTATTTTCTCTCTCTCTTTTTTTTTTTTTTTTTTCCCTTTTGGTCATTTTAGCTACTGAAACAAAAGGCAAATAAGTCGGATGAGCCCCCCTCTGCATGTCAAACGCACACCAAAAAGAAGCATCCCCTCAAAGAGGGGAACAGCCAACAAGCTCCAGCTAGCAATGGGAGTGAGAACGTGGTAAAGCCCAAATCTGCAAACAAAAAGGAAAATGGTCCTGCTAAAGACAGTCCTCCTTTGGATAAGAAAAAATCCAAGGCGGTTGCAGCGGACAAGAATTTAAAGCCCAAATCCATAAATAAAAAGGACAACAGTTCTGCTAAAGACAATGCTCCTTTGGCTAAGCCAAAATCCAAGAAGGTTGCAACGGACAAGAATTTAAATGGCACCAATGGGAAAGGCTGCAAGGAAAAAAGGAAGAATGGCAATATTGAAAAGGAGAAGGGTGATGTAAAACATAAGAAGAGGAAAGCTGAAGATGTGGAGCAGCAGCCCAAAGAGTGAGTACTTCAGGCATGATGCATGTATTTGAATGTTTATTTTAGTAGGTGTATGTAAGGAGTACAGAGTATTAGATTCGAAATAGCTGCACTCTTCCAGACTACATTTTGGGAGAAATAAGATGAACAGTGCCCCTCCTCAGATAAGGCAACAGATTTGTATAGATGACAGTGCTAGACTACTTTTTAGAGCTGATTTTTTAATTTAAAAAAAAAAATGCTTTTCCTACAGTATAAAGATGCAAAACCACTTAAAAACTATTTAATATAATTAAATTTGTACTTACCAGGGCTGACATCTGGTTTGATGACGTTGATCCACAAGATATTGAAGCAGCAATAGGACCTGAAGCAGCAGAAGTTGCTAGAAGAAAACTGGGACTTCCAACAGGCCGATCCGAACAGTCTGTGGAGCGGGTGCTGGTTAAAGAAAAGTCTTCTGATGGGTGAGTGGCATTCCAGTGGGAAGCATGACAGCAGAAGCATCAAGATTCTTCTGATAACTCTGATTTGTGGATGCAATATGTAAGCTGACATCCCCCTGGGTCTGCTGACAGTCACACTGCTGAGTTCTCCCAAATGTGTGCACTTTGTGAATTTCACTGTACTGTCCTTGTAACAGGTGTGTCACCAAGCTGTCCTTTTTTCATTTCAGTCTGACAAGAACAGTAGCCATGGACTGCGAGATGGTGGGAGTGGGACCAAATGGTGAAGACAGTATTGTGGCTCGAGTGTCCATTGTGAACCAATTTGGGAAGTGTGTTTATGATAAGTATGTCAAACCTACAGAAGAGGTGACGGATTACAGAACTGCTGTTAGTGGCATACGTCCTGAGAACATAAAGACAGGTAGGAGATTTTTCCCAAACATGTTCTTCAAGGAAGGTAATTTTAATAGGCTACCACAAAAGCCTCATTGGTTGAGCTTGAAAAAGTTTTAGACTTACATTAAAAAAATTGAAAATAAAATCTAGTCTGAATGCTAGGAAAAATGTGGGAAGAAGTACTTTTTTTACAGAATGGTCACTGATATCCCAGATGAAATTCACGTGTTAATTATGGTGTGGGAATAATGTGTAAGTTGATTTCCTTTTAGTGTTGTGCTCTTCACGGCAAGAAGATTCAGTGTCAAATACAAATTTATATAACTTATGATAAGTTTTATAATTTATATAGTCCCAAACGTACAATTGCCTTCACAAAAAAGATGCAGTGTTTTAACTGTAGCTTGCTTAGAGTATCTTAGGTGTCTAATGGAAGGTGGTTTAATTGTGTGGTGTTTTTAGGTGAAGATTTTAAAACCGTTCAGAAGGAGGTTGCGGATATCTTGAATGGAAGGATTTTAGTTGGGCATGCTTTACACAATGACCTAAAGGTATGTGGCTGCAAATTTGTTACTTTGAAGACAAGGTTCCAAACATTGAAAATCAATTAACTTTCTAATATATCTTCCTGGATTAGTCAGATGAACTCTCTGAACTCCTAGAAACGACAGCTTTATAATTGTTCGCTTAATTTCATGTCTTTATACGCTGCACCAAGTATAGCCCTATTCACTTGCACAATTGACTTCAATTTCCACACTGACTTAATAATACTGATTTGGGTACTAAAGAGCCACAGAAGAAACAGCATAATGAAAGAAGCCTTTGTATGCTTTGCTTAGCCTCCAAAGCTCAACAGTTTGGTTACTTTCTGTGTAACAGCACTCTTTAAACCAGAAATACAATTTCTTTCAGGTCCTATTTCTTGATCATCCAAAGAAGAAAATACGCGACACACAAAAATACAAACCTTTCAGACAGAGAGTCAAGGTAAGAAATTGTTGTGAAGGAACACCTTGATTAACTGACTGCTGGGCTGCTGAATCCCAGCTTCTAGCTTGTCCCACTTGTTTCTGTTTCTTTTTACTACCTGAAACAAGTCAAACTGAATGCTTACTTAGTGTATGAAATATGGCAGTGTTACTTAGTTCATTACAAACATTACCAGTAATACCTGTAAACAAAACTCAGTGGCTCTCCCATTCTTTACCACTAGCATGGTCTTCATAACACTTCTCTAGATAGCAATATAAGATGGTACGGTTCTAATTACAGTAAGGCTTATGTGATCCTTCTTAGTAGTATAATTTGTACAAGGATATAAAAAAATCCTGATGGTTTCAAATTTCTACTTAGACTGCAAGAGTAAAGGTTCAGATTGTAGGGCAATGTTTTAAGTTTCCTAGCTATATACTTAGTTTGTTTCTCACAATAAAGCACCCCAAACGTAAATCTTAGGGTTATAGTAATACATAGAAAACCCTCTTAGTAGTGTATGCAAATGTGCATAATCCTTGTAATTTGTAAAATCTCCTTGCTAGTTCACCAACAGAAGCTGTATGTGTACACACATCTATATATTTCAAGCAGTGTGAGACAGCATGATTCAGTCTTCTTTATTTCCAGTCTGCACGACCATCATTGAAGCTGCTCTGTGAAAGACTGCTAAATGTTAAAGTGCAGACATCAGAGCACAGCTCGGTATGTATCTCATCAGAATGTACATTTTGGGGTAGATCAGTAAGATAGTACACATAAGCTCTAGAATCAGGATTCAGCTAAGAATCCTGCAGCTTCATTCTGTCCTCTCAATGAAAGTTAGCAAGCTCTGCTTGGACACCATCATGTAATAAGACTGCCACCTAAGCTTGCGTACTGTTACATGCCTCATACCATTTGGATTATTTCCTTATTTTAATAAACTTCTTTTGTATAAGTCAACTGTATTTTGTTTAAATGCTAATTCTTGCTATTTTAAGATCCTTAGTTTAAAAAAAAAAAAAAAAGTAAAATCCCAAGTATCAACTGCTTGCTTTAAAAGCAGCGTTCTGCACCTATGGTAGCTAGGTAAAATAGCAAGAGCCTATTCTCAGCAGATATTCTATTATACACTGAAAAAATGGAAGTACGACAGAGGAATTGAAAAGCAAAGCAAATTTAGAAGTTACCTCTAAGATACTACATCATTTTTTCATAATGGCTTTCCAAGTCATGGTGAGAGAAAGAAGCGCATAGCCTCGTGGTGGGCTGTACATATTAATTCCCCTCCACTAGTCACAATAGAGCTTCTAAATCTGGAAGGAGATTATGAAGTGCTACTTGAAAGGATTTATTTATTAAGATGATGGGATATGTAGCTGTTTATTAATAATAAATGTTCTTCAGCCACGTTTTGTTAAGCCTCCTTGTATGTTCTGTTTTCTTTCAGGTTCAGGATGCGCAAGCAGCTATGAGACTGTACACCTTAGAGAAAAAGCAATGGGAAGATGCTATTAAGAACAAATCTAAAACTGTAAAACATGAATGATTCTATGCTGTGTTTTTTATCTGCAGCATTTGCTGTTTTCTTGTCAGATTCTGGGCAAATTTAGAGAGAGCAACTTGGAACCAATGGCAGCTATTTCATAAAATAATAATACAGCATTCATGTACCACTTCCAACATGGTACATGAGTGCTGCCATACAAGAATACTACTGAAGTATCCCCTTTCTGGAAAGGATGTATGCCTAATGCCTACTACTGTGTTTCAACAACACTTGTAACAAATGGCTGCACTTGTCAATTATTTCATCAGTTCATTTCTGCAAAGGAAATATACACTGAGCTTAAAAAAAACAAAGTGTTTTTAAATTATGATAAATGTAGGAAAAATTTGTTACTGCTTTACTGAAATTCCTGAGGCTAAAACATCTATTTCAGATATTTATAAAGTCTACAAAGTAAGGCAAGTTCTTAATTACTGCTGTTGGTCTCACAGTTGTAACTAAACCAATGGAACATAAACATGTTTATGTATTATTAATGGCCCAATATTAATCCTTGTGGTGAGAAAAGCTTCTCAATGTATTTCAGAAGGATCCAGGCTTTTATATCTAAACCAGAAGCCTACAAGATTTGTTCTTATATACAAAAAATGTTTACTTTACTTTTGCAGTTTCACAAGTGCTGTATCCACAAGGGTCATTATCTCCTGGAGAGAAATATGAGAATTGTCAAATAAGTACCTTGTTACTTCAGTTATTTTTATACTTCTAAATTAATAAAGAGCATTGTGTTTAACTTAGGCCTTTAGAATGACTGATGTTTTAAACATATATAAGGTCTGATTCTGCAAAATCCAAAGCAATTGTAATTATCAGACTGAACACTAATGTTGTGATTTAAATAATCTAAATGGGTAGTGGAAAGTAGCAAGGAATAGGTTTCAGAGATTCAGCAGTGGCATGCCACATGCTATTACCAGAATGAGAGAGTTCTGGTATTGTCTGTCAACAGGTGGCGCGGGGAACAACAAATTGCATTTACAACAGAAGAGGGAGCTTTCTTCTCATTTGTGATTTTTTTTTTTTTAATGTGCACTACTTTATAGATGCACTGTTCATTAAAATGGTGCAGAGACACCAGAGAGCAAGTTTGTAGGCCAGGCCTCTCTCTGAGAGGAATTACATAAGCGGACTAAATGCATAACTAAGAAGAGCAAGGTTATAAGACTAACCAGTTATACTGGCTTGCTGAAAAAAAACTTTATTGCTGCTTACTTCACAGTAAGCTGTTTTAAAGGAAGTACTACCATAGAACATTAAATAGCCTGAATAACTTTCCCGTTTCTGGTATTTCAGTAGTTATCTTTTTTTTTTTTTCCAATATAACTGTTGGAATATAACTTAAGTTAACCCTTCAAGCAAACTATCAGTGTTATTTTGTTTGTTTGTTTTTTTCAAGATTGTCTCTTAGAAGGTACCTGGATGCTACATACTTGTCTTATTCCTTTAAACTTTAGCCTGTTTAGTATGGAAACTGTAGTAAGTTAATGCAGTGCAACATTGCAAGAGACCAAAACATCATCTTAAAAATTACAGCACAGAGCATAAAGAAAGTCTTCCAAATAGTTGTTTTCAACATATATTCTTACAGCTCACTCTTCACATCATATACACATAATTCTTCTGTAAATTTCTATACTCTGTAATTCCACCTAAAAATTTAAAATCCATAACCAGAAATAGTGTAATATATTAAGCACACACCCTTTATTGTCCCCAGAATCTTCTACATACCATGCTAGATGGAAAACGGCTTTTCATTTCAGACAGCAGTTCTTCCATTTTCTGGGACACCATATCCAGCACAATGTCATCTATAATGTAAATGAACAGGATAATTTATGGTTACTGGTACAATTTCCAGTGGTTTTAGCTAAAGAAAATTAGAAACGGGATGGATCTATGCAAACAGAAGCCAAGGTTAAATTTTGAAGTTACAAAATTAATAAAATTGCAGGGCCTTTTTATAATTACTCAAGGACAAGAAAGTACCAGATGAAAATACAATTCCAATTCCTCCTCCTTTCTTAGATATATAGTGAGTCCTTCCTGAGAATAACTTCCATTTGCCTGAGCAGCTGCTTTTTCTTTACTGTCTTTTAGGGGTGGGGGAGAAGAAGAGACTGGATAAATAACACCACCATCTTACCATACTGAACCATCTCATTAATCAGCATACAGATATTTTCCACCACTTCTGGGTCATCACAGTGAAAGTGGTAGGCCTCTTTGATCAGGTTTATTCCACTGCCTTTTGAATCCGTTATAAAGCTGAAAGCTGATAATTCTGAAAGGGAGACAAATGCATCTGGGCTGATCGGTTGTTGCAGACTGCATTATTTGCTTTCCAGTCCCCCACCCTTGCTAGCACATGTAGTATTTTTCCACGCAATCATATCCATTCTTTTCAGCCTTCCTAAAAGCTATTCTGAAGCATATTTGGCCAAGTAGAAAACCATATATGCAGCTGATGTCATGCATGGCAGACATAATATTTATTGTTTCTTTGAGCTCCACCCTTTTACATTGAAAAAAAAAAAAAAATGAAAACACTCTCAAGTTACTAACAAATGAGATGGTGCCATCTACTACTACTCAGACATGCATGCCAGCTCCATGGGAAGAAAAAATCTGCACTTACAGTTTCAATATTTCTCCTTCCAGTTCTGCAAGAAAAGATTAACTCAGGAGAGAAGACAATCTCAGTCCCAATATGAACTCCTGAACTACGCAGAAGCACCTCTGAGGTGATTTGCAATTAACAAAAATTAATTACTGAATGTTACCAGATAGCCTTAGAAGGCTTGCTAATGCCAGGCAGGCATTCTTCACTAGCACAGCTCTTTTCAGGTTCATCCTAAGTGCATCCAGCAAAAGCACTGTTGTAGGCTCATAGTCATTTTCAGTTAAGCATCCTTTAAAAGAAAATAATAATAATAAAATTAAAAAAAAAAAAAAAAACACATTTAAAATACATACCTGCATCTCAACTTCTGTTTCTGAAGGGATTTTTTAAGTATGCAGCAAATGTTACAAAGAAAGAATGTGAAAACCTGTATTATAGTAACAGAGACCCAGTAAAGACTTATCGTGAGCTGTATCCATCAGCAGTATCTAGTTACATAATCAATATGGATCATCAAAAATAGCTTCATTAGTGTCAGACAGCAAATACAGGGAGGGTTTATTAAGAGGATGCAAGTTTCTAACTCTGCTGCCATCTGCAGAGCCTGCTAAGGCCAAGCAGCCTGTACTTCATGAATCTACTGACAGCAGTGTTTGATGTGCTAGCCTTTTCCATGCACAAGGGACAAGATAAACACCTTGGGAACACACACCTTGGAGTGACAATGCCCACAGCGCTGAGCAAGCTGACTCCATAACTGCTCCATTCTGGAGGTGCTCTTGAATGACCGCAGTGGTAATGGGGACAGCACTTTTCAGCAACGCTTGGTCTGCATTATTCTCTGAATTACCACAACAAAAAGGAAACGCATCAGGCAGGGTTATTTAATCAAGTAACAACATCACAAGCTCATTATAAGTCAAATTATATCAGTAAAACATTAATGGGTAATGGCACTGGAGTAAAGCCACATTATTTTAATATGGTCAACAGTGAGGGAAGAAATCCCAAACATGCAAATCAGATTTTACAGGACTACTAAATAGTAGTGTTTATTGCAGAAAGCTAAACTCTGGGAACTAGTTTCCTCTGCCATTTAAATTACACTTGGGCATCACAGCAGGAAAGCAAGCAAAAAAATATTTTGGTATGCAAATCTTTCACAGGATGGGTATTTAGCTGGTCACATAAATCAAATAGGTAGATTGTCACACAAAGAAAACAAAACACACCAAGTGCAATTGTGCACACTGTGCTTTCAGCCTTCCTTGATGATTAGAATACAACACCTATAAAAGAACACTGGAGAAACAAATCTCCATAAACTCCCAGTGTGGTCCCATAAAAAGGGGTCGGCTGTTGATCATTTAAAGTTATTCTAGCAGTGCTGTGGAGACATCTCTACACAATGCAAGAAAAAAATGTAAGAAAAACCCAGTTACAGCAACACAAATGTCTGAACTCAATTAGGCACAATACCTGCTGCATTTCAGTCACATGAGGCTAGGCACAATACTTGCTGGGTTCTACTTACCACTCACAGCCAAGCTCCAGAGAACTGCACAGCTAGAGAGGCAGATCTGTTCATTATGAAGAAAATTTTTTAAAATCCACAGAAGGTCTGAGATTAATCCAGCTTTCCTTAGATTCTCTGCTGCAATTTCTGAAGAGCACAGAAAAAGATAGCGTATAAAACCTGGCATTTGTGCCCCTCTCACTGTCCTTGCAACAAACTGCACTACCAACCATATTTAAACAGTGATACCAAACAGGTAACGTAATACCATGAGCAGGACAAAAGAAAGAAAAAGATTGGATTCAGTTAGGAAATAATGTATAAAATTTGGCCTTAGGTAGTAACTTTATTTGTATAAATGTAGACATTTCATAACACTTTGTACAAACTAGTCTTTTTAGATTATCCCCTTGTTGCAAAACTCTGTGACCAAAGAGTCTTATGATGACTGCTGAATTGACACTGCAAACAAAAAATACTATAAATATTTAGCAAATACAATCTCAGGAGAAAAAAAAAAAAATGAGGCAGAATGTAGAAATGTGCTGTTCACCACAGCACAGCCGGAAATAGAATCCAGGTTCTATGCCCTCATTTTCCCAAGGACTACTATTTGCACAGTTTCTATTTGTTTCTAAAACAGACAAATACAGCACAGCTCTGTAATACATACAATTCAGTAAGTGCCTGAAGCCTCAACAGTGCAACTTATTCATAACATACCTGAAAGTACAAGAAATCTTACCACTATTATCCTTATCAAACTAATATCTACAGGCACCCACATCTCAGTGAAGTCATGAGTTCTGCATTGTATCTTGGATTAGATTATTGAAGTGGAAAAATAAGAATATTCCTCCAAAAATGAACAAAGTGACCCACCACTGGCTGATATCATCATCAGTAATGTGCAGATCAATGAAAGAAGCTCTTCATTTTCAGAGTGTTTTCTCACTATCTCTAATAGAGAAATGGTCACATTCTCATCCAGGGTCATCACCACATCCTGTTCTAGAGCTGTCAAAAGTAAACATTAGAACAACAAAAATTTCAGTGGCTTTGAATGCAGTTTGAACCTCCTGCTCTCTACATAAGTAAACATTCAACTAACAGCTATTCAACTATTTATTCACACAACTCCAAAATTATTTCAAATTTTCTTTCTTCCAAAATACATTTCTTATTACTTTCAATCCTGTACCATTATCAGGTGCTATTGGAATAAAATGCCAAGAAACTTGACAGAAAGGACAACACAAGAGAGCAAAATGTCTTCTGTATTTTTATGCTTTTAAAGTCAAATGTCAGAGCACTGAAAATCTCTCATTTGTAACATGAAAACAAACTTGGTAGACTAAGACCAGTAGCCTGGATTTAACATTTACACTTTAACACAGAATACACATATGCCAGTCTTAAAGAAAGCCCCCAAGAATCTAGGCTCTTATTAAAGCTGGTTAAATTCCTCTATTACCTTACATTTATCCCCTAAAATTATTACTGAAACTATTTCAAACCTTACCTGATACATCTAACATTACAAGATACAGGCTGTATTACCCAGCATTAGTTGGAAATGTCGTAACTGTACCTTGAGTAAGAATTTCAAGCAATAAACTGCAACCATCTACTTGTAACTTGAGGGAATCTATATGGGCCTTCATTGCAAAAGTGATCAATTCTGTGAATTTTGGCAGATAGGGCAAGGCTGTGGGGAAGAGAAATGATTTGAAACAACATTCATTTACGCAGTCGATTGCTCAGCAGATGTTTATGCTTCAAAAACACCAGAGTTCTGGTTTCAAATGAATTTGAGTCCCTGTGAAGGATGGGATACAGTAAAACAACATTCCTGAATGAAAGAACAGTAAAGTTTTCTTCAATAACAGTGCTGAAGAGGTTGGCAACTCTAAAGAAAAAGAAATGACTCTTTCCTTTTTGATTACAGATATTGAACATCCTTGTGTATTAATAGTATGTGCTAATGCCAGTTTTAAAATGCTGTCACAAAAATGCAGTGCTACTGGATAAACTGAGTTAACCTGGTGCTTTAAAAAAAAATAAATTTGATCTGAAAGATCTGAAAAAATGTGCAGATAGTGGGAGAAAATAGTGTTCACTCACACAGCTTTACTGGACACAAAGAAACTAGACACACGTAGTTAGCTTTTGCTCTATCTGTCTCACAGCCCTAGGCATTACCCACAATTTATCCCCATGCTGATATGAATTACCTTCCTCGACAAACGTAAGTTTGCCCATTCCTCTTGGTTGCCAACATCACCAAGTTTTTCCCAGTACCCATTTTTCTTGTCCAGTAAAACATGCTGCTGTTCAGCAAAAGCATTTACAAACAAGTACCAACACAATCATATAAACAAGCAATCTATTTCAGTATGTTTCAAAAATCAAAAATAGGAAGACAGCAATTTTGTTCTCATTGTTAGGAGACTTTTTTCCTCTTCCCATTATCTCAAAAGGTAAGGAAAGAGCAGAACAAATAAATGAATAAAGCAGTACCTTACCACTTTCATCTCCTACAAAGCTGGAAAGGTGCTGCATGGCTCTAGCCTGTGCTTCTTCTACATCCCAGAAAGCCTGCATGAATTCTATATTAAAAATATATAATCATTTGATACAAAACATTTACAAAAAGCACTAAAATTTTATCTATTTTTGTGCAAGATGTGAATTCACATAAATGAAAATAATGAATTTGTGACTGCTGAAAGAGAAACCCTTTCTCCCTAAGCATCGATCCTTAGAGTATCATGATTCACCTCTATGATCTTTGTATGTCACACATATTTTCTGGAACTGTTGGAGTATTGAATCAAAGCAGGGCTGGGGGCTTTAAATGCGTTATTCAGACAGCCTTTTCATATTAAGAGAACCTCATCCTTATTTACAAGAAAAATGGCAGAGTAGATCTTTTCTTGGCATACATTGCAAACATGTTAGAATGCAGACAAAACAAGTGTGGTTCCCAGATTTTCAGAGGAATGATCTCTGACCCCATGGCACACTAGGTATGGCTGGTAAACTTACGAGGTTCTAGAAAAGGCTATACAGTGATTTTTGCTCCAAAGAATATCCTATTCCATTTCAAATAAAATGGGAACACAAGAATTATTTTTCAAGTAGACTGGAAAACACACTGGTTTGTCTTCTACAAAAATCACCATTATTCATCAAATTCATCTTGTTTTCCTTATTACCTAGAACATTTTCGATTCCTCCCTCAAGGAGCACATCTATTATACAGGGAGACAAAGACTTTTTCTGTTTTATTAAAAAGGAACCAGCAACAATCAGGCATTCCCCAACAAATGGAACATCAGTCAGATCCCTAAAATTATGAGAGACAAAAGTAGTACCAATAAATTAGAACTGGTAAGTTTCAGAAATATTTCTACAGTCTTCATTTAATTTTGATATAAAAAATTAAACAATGCTATTTGAAGACTAGATTATTTTTGACAAAACTTACACAGTTTGCTTCAAAACTGCTGATGAAAAAGCTTACTGTAAACAAGCCAGACTCAGGCTTCAATTTAATTGTTTGTAAAATAGATACAATACCAAAATATTGCATTGCATCCTGAAGCATTCTCAAGAGGTAAAAAATTGTGTGCAACATGATTTTATAATGTAACTCTTCAAAAAAGGTCAACTACACAAATCAGAATGCCTGTTTCTTAAAGAAAAACAAGTCTTTTTGTAGTAACTCAATTAGTCAAGGCGGTAAGATCAACAACCTTGACTCAATCCCTTTCAAGCAGTAGCTAACGTTCCCTATCTTTTGAAGGTATGTGGGGTTTAGGTCAAGAAATAACAATACAGGCAAAGCATCTAGAACTCACTTTGCTGTGGGTCTCATGCTGGGCTGAATCTGTAGCATCATAAATAGAATTGGGAATAAAGGCAAAGAGCTGTTATCTCCATGTTGCATCAGTGGCAGAACTCCCTCAAGACGGCTGGTATTGTGTCTGAGATCCTGCAGCAATGAAGTGATCTCTTCTGTCTGTAAAGAGTATAGTAACAGTAGAGTTTACACATACAAATTTACAGATATCCTGGTGGGCTCATGACATTTTAAATCTATAATGAAACATTATTACATACATTCAGAATAAAGCAGGTGATCATGTCAAGTAGAATACAGCCTAGAGACCAGATGTCTGATTTCTCACTGAAACAAAAATTGAATGTTTCCGGAGCCATCCAAGCCTTGCTATCTGTTGAAATAAGAATCCCATGGTAACATTGCTGACACTGTATTATACACAGTGTTGCCTGCACAGGTATGAACTGCAGGCAATAGTTTTATGTCTAAAAATAGAGATACTCAGCAGAGATTAGTGGGTTTTTTGTTTTGGTTTGGTTTTTACTGGCGATATGCTACAAAAGAGTAAGAAACACTACAACTAATAAATCATTTTTCAAGATGTAACTGCATATATATCAAGCTAAAAAGAATTGCAACTGTATTTGTTTCATAGAAGTTCTGAGACTTATAGACAGCTTTCAATTATGAACACAATTAATGCTCCGGGCAACTCTCTGTGAATATGCTATTCATATTTTAGAAGGATAATGCAGAGAAGGGGGGGGATAACATTTCTCTCTTTGTCTGATTTTTCTCTGGAGATTGCAAAATATCCACCATAAATTAATCTCTTATAAATATAGTCAAAATAAAAGAAATTATCTACTTTCTTCCACTCTTATTTTCCATTTTGCTTCATCAGTCATAAGTATTTCTGTACTGAAGTCACAAAGCATGAAGGATTCTTCATCAGTCACAAGAATGTTTGACGGCTTGAGATTTCTGCAACACAAATATTTTCTGTCAGCATGTGAGATCAGAACCTAGTGATATGTAACTACAGGTTCTCAGCATCTCTACATATTAGAAAGTTTGGGATTTGTTTTTTTGTTTTGATATACAAGTGGTAATCAACTGAAAATTATTTTCCTCCTTTACTGTGAAATGCTTTGAAAATTGCAATTACAACAAAATTTATCCAAACATGGAATGCAATGGCTTACTTTACTTTAGTCACACAAAGTATACCTTGTCTGTCACATCCACTAGAATGTAAGCATTGTTGACAGGCAATATTCTAATGTTTATATTAACAATCATACCTCACGTTCAAAACAACAGAGAACACCTCTTTCAAATGGCTAATTCAAGACAAAATTCAAGAAACAGATGAGTTCAAAAGTCACAGAAAATTAACAGGATTTCTACTCACCTATGCAAAATGTTTTGTTTGTGTATATAAAACAAAGCATCCACCATCTGTCCCAGGAACTTCACCATCACCTGTTGACAGGTACATACGTGACAATGTAACACAAATACAATAACATGACAGAGAAATTAAACATTTAACAAGAGAGAATGCCTGTAATTGAAGTGAGGCCCAGAGTGGAAGGAAATACTGTTTTCCCCAAACAGATAAATATGCTAATCTCTGTGTGTATTAGACAATTGCTATCATCCATAATTTCCATGGATAAAAAAAGTAAAACAGGGGAAGATTTAATTGCTTGAGAGCAAGATACACGAAGAGTTAATTGTTGATACAGAAATTTCATAGTGATTCAAGGCAAAGAAGTAGATAACTTCCAAAAGCTCTCTTCAGCAACACACTGTGCTTTGAAGACTTTGAGGAAAACTTTGAGAAAGAGTGAATACAGAAGAAATATAAAAGCAGCAAGATTCAGTCAGTTCAATTAAATGCCTCTTTTGTACGTTTTACCATGTCTGCTATTTTCTCTGACTTCTGCCTTTTTGTCTTAATCAGAGATGAAAGATCTTCTTGGCCTGAGTGCTGCATTACCAGACAAAGGAACAGAGATGATATCTGTAATAAAACGTTACACCAAGATTGTCTAATTGTTTGCAGGTAATAACATATCCAGAAAGATAGATCAACACAAGGACTTGGCCAAACTGCTGGGTATGATGTTCACCAATACACAGGTGTTCTGAGATGTTTAATCTCTCACAGAGCATACAATATTTACTTTCTTATATTAAAAATAGAGCACGTGTGTTGTTTTTTTTTCAAAATCATTACCCCAGCATCTCTTACACAAAGCCATGTGGGACAATTCGAGTAGAACATACACCCATAAAAAACAACATGAATTTCACGTGAGTGCTGAATCAAAACTGAAAATAAGCAAGACAGGGCTTTTGGTTTCCTATAGCCTGCTATGAAAGTTCTGTTTGTTTAAATGCAGGCATGCTGAAGACAGAACAAAAGCAGACAAAAGCAACTTAAAATGATACATTTTACACAACCAATCCTAGTTAATTCTCACCTCATTATTCCAAGTCACAAACAACTCCTTGTAAGTACAGATGTTTGAATGACGAAGTTTTAGCAAATCCATTGCCTGCGTAGAAAAAAAAATACTGAGAGAAAGCAGTCTAGAGCTACATACTCCTTCCCACTGAAAATGACCTTAAATAATATCATAAGCCAGTTCCTGACATGTTCATGTCACGTGTCTGTTCAAATCCTTTCTGTGTGTAAGCTCTGTTATACAGGTACATTTGCATGTACAAGTGTAGGAAAGTACTTCAGTAAGACTCTGCTCAGTGTAATGCTGTAACAGCATTGGGAGACTCAAGGTACAAACAGATCCTAAGAGACATGCTATGTAAATAATCCCCTACCCCAGTTCCTAACGTCTGAACTTGACAACATATCTTAGGATGTGAAAGTCAAGATGATTTTTCTAGTGTAGGCGTTATTTCAAATAACACCTATGCAAGCTCAAACCACAAAAAAGATGATGGCACTAGTGAGATGTTTATCTCCTTTACGTTGGTTTCAGTATAAGGAACAATTATCAGTTACTTTAACAAATTTGCTGATGATGAAAAAAAAAAAAATTACAGGAATTCAGCTCACTGTCCTAGTTTTGTTTTTGGCTGTGCAGAAAGAAAAAAAAAAAAAGAGCCATGCTTCCAGCTTGCACAGCTACATTTATTTCAACAGACACATCAGCAGACAATTTGGATCAAACTGTATCAGGAAAGACAGTCTCAGTATATAAAGAGGTCACTTATCTTTAATAGGATGAAACATTTTTACAGATATACATGTATATTCTCCCTCATTTTCCACTGCAGATATCATGTATACTGGACACTGTGAGACTAATTCATCTGATATTATTTCACATATTTTGTTTAAACAAATTTTGGTATTTTAACAGTATGTCTGATGTTCCTTCTTATGTGTGGCATTGAAAAAAGTTTGCACAAAAAAAAGGTAAACAGAGGAAGAAAACTAGTCAAATTATTCACATCATGAAATACCCAACTCTGAGAAATGACCATGTAATGAAACATGTTTGACAGAAATTAATAATAATAAATAAAAATATAAACAGGCTATGTTCTCCTTCAGCTTAAAGGCCAAAATGATGTGCTTTTCTCTTTGTCCTCACCACAAATCAAATACAAAATCTGAAAAATGGAACTATCTTCTGAGAACAGCTGTCCACTTGAATCTACATATTCAAATCTAGGAAGAACTAATAAAAAATCCTGGCCTCAGCTCAAGCAGAGGGCAGGGATAACACCCTTCAGATAGTCCTACCCAATCTGCATGTTGGCTATTTGCACAGCCAATCTTTGTAGATAAAGACTTTGTTCTGTTAAAGTCTTTGGTCTCTGGAAGTGAAGCTTGTAAAGAAAACCTGCACTGATACCTCCTTCAAGGCCGTGTTTGCTTGCATTTTGTCAGTGCATTCAACCTGTACCAAACAAATAGAAGACAAAGATGAGACTGTAATATAGAAACAGCCAATTTTTAAGGAAGTACAAACTTGCCAAGAGGATATGAATTGGCATAAATTTTAAATTATAGCTCCGATCTGTAATGCTTGGAACAGTCTTGATTTTGGGAGATGAACAGAAAGCTTTAAGTGACTAGTCACTGCTGCACTGTCAAAGTAGCAGAAAGCTTTGGTGAAAGCACACTGGATGGACCTAAATAGGGCGTTCCCCCTTCCCCAGTTCTACCTCAATATTCTGGTAAACTGATCCAATTCCTCAGATGTCCAAAAGAGCAGCACAATGTAAGATGCAAACCTACTCTTACCCAGCAACCAACCTACTGACCATGTTTGCCTCTTTTACTATCAAAAGGGCCCACAGAGTTGACGAACTCATGTTTTCCTAGCAACCACCTTCTCACCTGCTTTATTACATATTTCTTTTTCTCACTCCCTTTTCCTTCTGATTCAACCACCAGCATTGTGCCCAGCGCCCCGGGCTGCAGCTGCTCCAGTACCTGCTGGGCAGAGGAGAGGTATTAACGCATCTTGCTCCAGGGGGTGACACGACCAAGGCAGAGACCCCCTTTCAAACCCCCCTCTCACGGAGACCCTCCACACAGAGCACTCCTCCTGCTCCCTGCAGCAGGCCAACACGCACCCCCCAGGCCTCCTCTCCCTCAAATTTTCCCCCTTCCTCCTGCTGCAGAGGGCATCACCCCCACCTCCCCAGGGCCTCATAATCCCTTCATTTTACTGTGTTACGTGCTTTATATTTTACACTCGATGTTTCACTACACCCCAGCACCTCCTTCCCCTTCCCTTCCCCAAGGGGCCGCTTATACCCCCACCACCCACCCCCTACAGGACCAAGCCGCCCTCTATTTCCCCCCTGAGCCACCACAGCCTCCCCTGAGGGGCAGAGACCCCCAGGACCACCTCGTATCCCTCCATCAGCCCCTGAGGGACCGGGCCGAGCCCCCCCAGCCCCCGGGGGCAGCCGTTGGCCCCGGTTCCCTTCAGGGGATTTGGGGGCCGGGCGCCGAGCCTGCGGGGCTGGCAGGAAGCTTCGTCAGTGCTTATGGAGGGCAGCAGGGCCGCACCGCACCGCCCCCAGCGTTTCCTGGGTGGGGGATTTCGGTTCAAACAGAGGAAAAAAAGCCTAAAAATGGGAAAAAAAAAAAAAAAATCGGTGACAGGGAAGCAGCAACAAGGGCACCACTGGGGGGGGGGGTGTGACGGGACTCAGTACGGCCCCACTACCGGCGGGGCACACAATTTAGAGGCGCGGGCAGTCCCAGCCCAGCCCCATCGGTGCTTTACAACCCCTAAAAACCCCAATTCCCACCCCAAAACCCAACGCCGAGAGCCCCGAGGCGCGGCCCCTTTAAGGCCGCGCGGCGCGGGAAGGGCGGGGCCCCTCGGGCCGCCCTCTCCCATTCGCCCGGCTTGCGCCGGCGCTGCCGCCCGCGCGGCCCCTTTAAGAGCTGGCCTACGTGGCAGCAGCAGCAGCCGAGCGGCGCGGTGCGGCCGGGCCCGGCCCTCAGCTCCCCCCCTCCCCTCAGTCAGGCCGGGCCCCCCCCCATTCCCCTCAGGCGCGTAGCAACCGGCCCCTGCCCGCCTTGCTTCGCCGCCATGGGTCAGAACGACATCATGAGCACCGCTGAGGACTTCGCGGACCAGGTGGGGGGGCTCTTTGTGTGTGTGTGTGTGTGTGTGTGTGTGTGTGTGTGTGCCCTCAGGGTGAGGCCGGGCCTGGAGATGGCGGCTGGGGGGGGGCCCAGGGGGGCGCCGCGCTCCTGAGGCGCGGTTGGGGGTTGGGGGCTGGGGGGGGGAGTCCTGAGGGGTTGGGGGATTCGTGGTAAGGGAAAAAGGGGTGAGTCCTGCTCGTTCCCTCGCCCCCTGGGTGAGGGGGGGGTGTGGTAAGGGGTGGGGGGTTGAAGGGGTCTGGGTGGGGGTTGAGGGGGGGGGAAGTGCCCAGCCCTTCCTGGGGGGAGCCCAGAAATGAGGTGGGAGAGGCCTGCCAGCGCCGGGGGGGTGTGCTTAAAATTGGGGTGAAAGGAGAGCAGGCAAGCTGGGATCGTTTTACCCCCTCTGTGTGGTCATTTTTATAGAGGTGGTTGTGGGTTTTGCTGTGAAATGAAGGTTTATAACGTGTTATCGTCACATATCAAAGCAGGGGTATTGTGAGCGTAAGTAGTTAATGTGGTGGTGGTAGGAAGATCTTCATCGTCATGGTGATTCATATCATTGAAAACCAGAGGTAACATCTAATCATACTTTATCAAGTTCTTTGGAAAAAAACCTTATTCTGCCTGGTTTTGCCATTTCAACTGCTGAAGCAGAGCAACACTCCCCTCTGAGGGGGCTGTGCTGCTGCCACCGCAAATCTCCCTGGGAAAACCTGTTTGGTGCTCCCTGCCTGCTCCCAGATGGGCGCCTCATTTTAGAGCCAGAGCTTCTTGTGGCATGTGGGAGAAATCAGTTCAAGGAGTGTCCTGATCATTTTTGTCAGCCTCTATTTACCTTGTCCTCTCTCATTTTAAATGAGAAATTAAGCTATCTTGACTTGAACTAGTGTTCAAGTCACTTGCCAAAAATTGCACTGTTTGTCCTGACCTTTTTATAACACCCCTCTATTTATTCCTGTGTGACTATTTCTAGATGCCTCTAAAACCCCATTTTTTTTCCATAGTAGTGAAAGCTCTTTTGTCTAGCAAAAACACAGTTTGCTTCCTCATGAGATGAGTTTTAAGTGGCACAGGTTTATTTGTGCTTGGCCACATACTATTTAAAGACGCGTCTTTACCTTAGTCACAGAATTTGGGGTATTTGCATGCACTTATTCATCAGATTGCAAAACAACTTCCATGGCTCTTCAAGTAACTAAGATATTCCTCAGATAAGTCTGGCTCCAAATGGCTGCCTTGCTCAATCAGCTGCTTTCAGTTCTGTCTGTTGCTAAAACTCAGTATCGCACCACTGTAGGAGTAAAGGGACTTACCAACCAATTACCCTTGGTATATATATTGCAAAGTTAATGCTTAGCATTATGAAAACTTAGTTCACATCAGATAAAAAACACTTAAAACATCTGGATTGAAGTTGAACTGGAACTCCCCTTGATGAAGTTGGAGATAGTGAAGCTGGACAACTGCTGTTGTGTGACCTGGATGTGTTTGCATTGGTCACCTTGCTTTCTGTAACATCAAAGCCCTGTGGGGAAACGTATTAAGTCTCCCATGAGGTAGTAACAAGTGGCTACTAATCCACAGGTGAATTATCCAGCCGAGTGGAGTAGAGTACCAGGACCTGGCCTTACACAGCAGCTAAGTGTGCCTGACAGCTGGCTGTCCCTGACAGGGATTGTTCTACTTTTCCCAAGGCTATGTTCCACTTTCCTTCTCTCACACAAGCACTCACCTATCACCAGACTGGGAAGCTGAACTGGTTGAGAGAATGTGAAGGTTAATTTGCTGTTGGTTCGCTTCTCATTGTATAGGTCAAACGGGCACCAGCTCTGGTGCAACGGAGTGGTTGGAGTACAGGACTGGGGGTGACACCAAGGTGGTGAGATCACTTGTGATGAAAACTAGCCAGTAATTTAGCTGGGCTCTGGCATCTGTTTGTAGCTTGCAGGTGCACAGTAAGTCTGGGGAGCTGCTCTGCTCTTTGAGCTGCTGTTGGCAGTTCCTGAGGATTGCCACAAAGGATGTTGTGGGGTGGTCTTGCAGGTTTGGGAGGAGGCAGCTTATTACCTATTAAAAGGGGTGGAAAAAGCTGCTAAAATCTTTTAAAGTGGGGTTGATGTACAGTGCAAAGAGATAACGATCTTGCATCAGAATGATGCCACCACTGCATGCATTGCTTGTTTTTAAACACTCCCTTGTAATACCAGCCTAGTATTATCAATTAAATAGCTTCTATACCTAGAGGTTAGGCATGTTATTTAGTGATCCTTGCTAAAATATTCCATGTTAAGCTCTTCAGTGCAGTCATGGTATACTGCTGACACTATCGTACTGCAAATAGCTGTAGTGATTGTTTAAGTTAGAGAACTGGCTGCCTTTCTTCTGTAATCCCTGTAAGAGGGAGCAAATCTCAAGCAACTTTTCTAATGTCTGTAATACACTTTAGGAATGTGGGTGCCTGGTATTTCTGCCATTCTAAAAAAAAGTGGACAAAAATGCAATGAGACATTGAGTCATTGTACTGCAGTGAGAGGATTGTAAGGGGGAAAAACCAGACTCTGGGGGTTTTATTTAGTTTTTCCAACATAAATTCTGGTGCATGTTGTTAAGCCAATTCTAACATCTCTGTATCCTATTTTGCAGATAACAGAAGGGAGAAGAAAACATTTCATTTCTAGCCTGACCTTTGTGTTTAGTATTAAGGAACAGAATTTGGAAACTCTAGCTTAAAGTCATGTCAATACACTGGTCCTGTATCATTATAAACCAATACAGCTTATTCCTCTAAGACTGGGAAAGACTCTTACCATGAAGAGCGATAGCAAAATGCAATATGTGACTAAGAAATCCCATTCTAAAAATTTGATTGAATAGCCTTTTGGAAAAGGGAATTGTTATAAAATATGACTTAGAAGTGAAAAGCATTCTTGTGAGAAATCTTATCACAATTAAAAGCCTGATTGGGATCCCAGAAATGTTCGGGGGGGTCAGAGCTCTCTTTTTCTTTTTGAAATAATGAGAGCAGTGTTCTCACTACTGAGGCTACATAGACAACTTGCAGACATCAGTTAGCCCGGTGTGATGGGTGCTGCTGTCCTTGTAGTCATTAGGTGGATATATGCAGGCCAGCAAAAGGAAAAATTCGTTCTTGGCCAGAGGGTTTGAGCATCCTGCTCCGGAGAGTAACTGGTACCTGCTAGAGCTCTCTGCTTTTCCAAGAGCAAAGCAATCCCTTAACCAAATAAAAGCTAGGTACTTCAAACAGAACCTTATCAGAGGCTCTAAACACACAGAGTTCTGTAGAAGAGTTTTCTGTGTATTTTAGCAGACTGCTGTTTATTACTATGATCATTTCACTGATTCAGGAACATACATACATGAGGAAAAAGGCTTCTCTGTTTGGACTTTGGCCCAGTCTTAACAACCAGAGAAGCTGTGGATGCCCCACGCCTGGAAGTGTTTAAAGCCAGGTTGGATGGGGCTTTGGGCAACCTGCTCTAGTGGGAGGTGGCCTTGCCCATGGCAGGGGGTTGGGATTAAATAATTTGTAAGGTCCCTTCCAACCCAAAGCATTCTGTGATTCTGATCTTCAGAGTACTTCTAAGTTTGGTAAAATCACATTCATAAATGAAATCTGGAGGAAAGGGAGTTTTTTGCATGGAGCCCTACCTCCCCAGTGCATGTGTTCATTTCCTTTACAAAATACACCTGCGTGACAGTGAAATATCCCAACTTGGGAAGTGTATTCTGCGTTATGATGTCCACTTCCATCAAAATGGGCTTGAGTCCCTTACAAATTTGGGACTGTTGTAGGTGGGATATTTTAGAAACTGTAAGAGTCAAAACAGGATCATTTCATCCTGTCTCTTTGGGTGGACTTCTTTTCTAGGTTTGAATATTTCAAGACTGCTTTTCAAAAAAGATCTTGAGCAGAGGCTATTTAGGTTTCCGCGGATCCTCTTGTGCATCTTTGCTTATTAAACTAAGAGGAGCATTTAAATCTATCTTTGCCCTCCTAATCCCATTAGAGGGGAAGTGGCAACACAAAGCCCCTCTGGTGCATGTTAATGACCTGACCGCCAGTGCCAAACCAGCTGTTCTTCTTTCAGATAGTTTTGCTTTGGTATTTTGTTACCTTTTCTCTTGCGAGGAGGCAGTGTGTGCCAAGAATTGATGCAGAGCCCAGAACAGAGTAAGCCACCCGATTACTTCACAACATGAGTTTGAACACGGTCACCTCTGTCTGTCTCCACGCTTGATTTTGGCTGAAGCACACTGTGTGTAGCAGAGTGTGCACTTTGAGTCCTGTGGATCATCTGGATGTGTTTACCAGCTGCAGCTACCTGCTGCAAAGTTTCACATGTGCTGCTTTTACCCCATGAATCATAGGTGTAGGAAGTAGGCTCAAAGTGCAATGTTTCGAGCCACACGTCGCTGATGATGTGTAGGGACTGAACCAGCAGTTCTGATCCTATCAGTTCAGTCCCACTTCCAGGGACCTCCTGTTTCTTTTTGGTTACTCTGCCCTAAGCCTGAATTATTTGGGTGATTCAGTGCCTAAATTCATTAACCTCAAAAATCGTTTGGTGTCTGTTATGTTCTTGTTATTGTGTAACTGTTGGCTTCCTCTCTTTCTGATCTCTGACCAGTCTCTTTTGGTCTTTTCTCTTTCATGCAGTCTGTTTCTGAAACTAACTTGCTTTATGCTTGCTGAGGCTTAAAGGTTTTGGCTTGTGTGTAGCTAAACAAAGGCAGCTACGTGAGTTATGGATGCCCAGAGATGGTCTGTGTCCTGATAAGGTTGCTGAGCACTGCAGCTGCTGTAGGCCTCGGTCCTTCTGACTTGTCGCCAGCTGATTGGATGCTCACACACGTTTAATAGATGGCATTACATTCCCTCTGTAAGCCATGAGAACAGGTAAATGTTAAATGCCTTTTTTGGCTCCTCACCTAGGCTGTTGGCAGCCCCTTCCTTTCAGGGAAAGGGAAGTGGGTCATGTAAGCTGATCTCATCTTCAAAAGCCACAGAGATGAGGCTTGGAAGTAGATACCATCTATAATGCTTGCTGCTTTTTTTTCTGGCTTTCTGCAGCAGTGTCTTTTTTAACCTTTTCCTACAGATGCTCAGCCCCTGTCCTCTTGCATTTCCTTTCTTTCCTTCACCTGTCTAGACTAAAGTTGCCTGTTCTGCATCTTGGCAAGGGCACACTATTACCTCTTCACTTTTTTTGTACTATTTCCAAACTATCTGTAGCATTCCTTGCCTCAAGCTGTCCAAACACAGTGAAATGAAGGAGAAAAAGCTGTAAAACAAGATGCGTATCTCCTCCAGTGACAAAGATCACAAATTTTCTTCTGAGTCATTCATCCAACTATTAATATGGTTTTAAAAAGCCTGAAGTGGCAGCCCTGAGTCAGAGTACAGCTGCACTTAATATGCACTTGATTGACTTGAATCTTGACCCTTAGACTCTGTCTGCATGCAGTGCAACTGGTGTAGTTTGTTCTGCTATTAACTGTTAAGCGTGTTTGCTGCATTTTTTTTCTTGTGATAATCTTCGGTTACACAGTAAGCAAAGCTTTTCATTTGCATAGGATTTGAAACAGCCTTTAGTACTTACTGATTACTGTGACAAGAAAACACTTCCAGAAATGGCTTTAGTGTCCCTTCCCTATACTCCTATATATAGTGAACACTTCCAGAGCCACAAAAAAAAAGGTGCCCAGAAATAAGCTTATTAGCTGTGCTGTCAACACAAAGGACAGAAATACAGAGTTATGAAAGAAAGATTGTGGTGTTTCTGATAATTTGTTTTGGTGGTGTTCAGCCTTGTCTGGCAAATGCCTGTGTTCATGTGGCTTTTCCCACCTCCTTTTCATGCTTAAGTGTCTAATATCACAAAAACGGTATGAAACAGTGTAATGTGGGCATTCACTTCTACAAGTGCCAGCCTGCCTAAACTGCTGCTGTTGTTTGAAGGTAGAACCTTGCTGTTTAATCTCCTAAAGCTAGTTTTAGATTAAATTTGTCTGTTACTTAGTAGATTGCACTTGCCTACATGGCAACCCCCACTGGCTCTAAATGTGGCTTTCTGGTGATGTGGCTAAGCCAAACCAGCATGGGTGGTGGGCCACTCTGTGGCAACGTGCATCCTAGAGAGAGTTCCCATGAAATAATAACCAGTGCCATTCAGGAAACTGGCAGGATTGAGTACTTGTTACACTCCAGATGCAGCATATCTTCCTGTGCACCCCTTGGTCCTACAGGGTGTGCTAGTCTGGGCGCTATTTGGCCATGATGTATTTGTTCTTCAGAATCTGGGGGAACCAGATGCAACTTGCATTCTCAAGAACTAAGGCTCAGCATTTGTTCTACAGTATAATTTATTTCTAACTACTAAATAGAATATGTAAATGCCTAATTTATTTCTGCACAGGAGGCTGTTTTTAATGAAAGTAGGAACTGTGTATGCACAAGGTGCAATTTTGTGTACCAACTGCGCTGAACTAATAGCTGTTGCTCAAGAGTGAGGTTCTGCACACAGACACATGCTTTGCACTGGTGCTTTTAAGATCTGCTAGAGGGAACTAGCTTGTCAGAAAGCTTATTAAAGTTTTTTAATCTTTCTAGGGTTAACCTTCTGTCAGCCTCACTCCCTGAATCAGTTTGTTACAGGGTGTTGAGTGCCTGAGCATGTGGGTGGGAGTAGGATTGCCCTTTCAGCTCCCGGCTATCTGATGGATCAGTTGAGCTGTAACATGAAACTGAGGCAAACTAAAACCAAGGTCAGCCTTCATCTAGTAAGAGCTCCATCAAAACACAGTTCCTGTTGCACAGAAAGGTGCTGCAGGATTCTGCTTTCCAAGTTCTTGTCCAAAAAGCTCTTCAGGTAGCGCATGAAAACCAGATTCCCCCACCTCTCCCACGTGTTCTGAAACTGGAGTGAAGGAAAACTTCATTAAATCCTTGTTCCTCTGTAGATGTTGTTGACCCTGTGTGCATGAGAGCTGCTGACCTCGGAGTCTGGGGAGTGCATGGATCTCCAATGATCTCCTGTGCCTTGAGTTCCCCCTTGCCCTCTGTCCTGCCTTTTCCTGCTAACTGTGCTGTCTGTCCCCATAGTTCCTGAGGGTGACGAAGCAGTACCTCCCCCACGTGGCCCGCCTGTGCCTGATCAGCACCTTCCTGGAGGATGGCATCCGCATGTGGTTCCAGTGGAGTGAACAGAGGGATTACATTGATGGAACGTGGAACTGTGGCTATTTCCTGGCCTCCATCTTTGTGTTCATAAATCTCTTCGGACAGCTGAGTAAGTGGCTCTAAGGCTGTTAAGGTGGATGTCAGAGCACTCCAGTGTGTCTGCCACCCCTGGCTCATGTAAGCACTGTGAATCATGTAAGCATGGGACGCTTCACTGATTTCTCAATAGCCATTGATAGCTTTGAACTGATAGTACTATGTGGGCTGAATGAAGAGAATTCTTAATTGACCTGCCTCAGTCTTTCTTGGAAATAGTCTGAGAACTTCTGGTGACACCGTGAGTCAGAGATACCAGGAGTCCATTAGGGCAGTCTGTTTTCAGTTCTGTACATACATATATAAACACACCCACAACCCCTAAGTTTTCTGAATAAAATACTCATTTTCTTAAGTGGGGCAGAGCTAAGACTTTCTCAGCCTCCTGTTTTTATGGGGATTAATTTCAGTGTTAGTGTTCTACCCTGCAATTGGTACGCTGCAGCCACAAGAGAGGTGTCTGTTTCAGAGAGTCAAAGCCCAGGAATCAAAATAATCCCAGTGTAAGTGCTAAGTGAAGCTAGAGTATCAAAAATGGAGAGGTAAAATTATATTAAGTCCCAAATTTGTTGTTCTTAATTGCTCTGTGAACTTCATTCCTTGTGGCTGGGTTTAGCCCAGCAAGAGTACAGCATGTTTGTCCTAGCAGTTTATCACTAATAAAATATATTAAAAAAAAAAAAAAAATCCCCCCATGATTAGTTGAGTTTCTTTGTAACTTCTTTTAATACTTTAATGCTTATAGCTACTCTGTGGGTCTGTGTGCTAGGGACTACATTCAGTGTATGTTTACTCTTTGTGAAATAAAAGATACTTCTGGAATTACAAATTTTTTCAAACATGCACTAGAACTTCTCAGTTCCCAAACTGACTTGTGCCAATGTTCCATTAAAAGTTCCTGCCTGACTCTCTGTAGCACAGTTGAAAGAAATCTGATTCTGCTCAGTTCAAAACATGTTAGAATTCCTGCAGCATCTTTTCCTGTGCAAGCCAGAAGTGTAACTGTGTTCAATTTCCCCAACTCAGGCGGCTGCATCCTGGTGCTGAGTAGGAACTTTGTGCAATATGCCTGCTTTGGACTGTTTGGAATTATAGCATTACAGGTAGGAGGCTTAAGTCTTCAGACCTTCTAAACCATGTCTTTCAAATCTTTTCTCTTAGCCACAATATGACCAGCATATTCAAATACCCAGAATTTCTTTCTGGCCTGGCCTAATGCCAGTCCTCAGTGACATTGAACTATTTTTTCCTGTTCTTTTGATGTGCCTGATAGATCCTTGGATGTAACTGCAGTTAGTCAGCTGGAGATGTTGATTTGCTATTTATGACCTTGACAAATTTAGGAGAAGTAACTTGCAATTTACCTATATGTCAGTAACATACCAAATGTGGGGCTTATAGCTGCATGCTGAAGGCCAAGGCCTGGGAACTCTTCCGAAAGCCTCTTCCAGTCCCCATCACAAAGAAGCCTGACTAAATAGAATACTTCCTGTCTAAAACAGATGCGTTTTTGTGGGGGCTGAAACAAGGGAAATTCTGGATTCTATTCCCTGTTTTACGCTGACTCATAGGACCATGCTGGTGTAACTTAGCTTGTTTCTTTCAGTACAATGTACTTGTAATTGACTTCTGCTATGGATAGTGAGGTTTGAGATCATAACGTTCTGAACTTCATTGCAACTTGCATGGTGTTAATTAACTTCTCTTGTTCTTTGTCTAGACTATTGCATATAGCATTCTATGGGACCTGAAGTTCTTGATGAGGTATGCCTACATAGTTCTTTCAAAATAGAATGATAGCTTTTGTCTGTAATAGCCACTCCTTTACAGAGGGAAATTATCTTTGTACAGAGCATTTACTAGAAAGATTTTACCAATTACACACTTCTATTAAATATTAGAGCACCTAAAAAAAAATAAAATACAAAAGGTACAGTGAGTTAAACAGCAGGTTCAGTACTGTAGAAGGAAAAGACTAATCCTAACCCACTAAGATCTAAGTGCTTCTGCTACCTACCTCTTTGAGAGCTCAGGTGCAGCTGTCTGGATTGGATCAGTGAGTTGCTATTTCCTAAATGGTTAAAATAGCAACTGTGCTTATGTGTGACTGAAACCATTTTCTGAGGAAACTGAAACATTTAGATATTGGAATGGTTTCTGGGATTTAAATCCATATCACCTTTCTGAAGTAGAGGATGGGGTTATTGAAAATGAACTTCCTTGTCAAATCCCAAGTGATGGCTGTTACCTTTTTACCCCTCTCCTCTGAGGGGAGGGCAGGGGGCAGCACAAGATCCGTACTCTGGGCTTACTACAACCCTGTAAATGTGTAACTTCTAGCAGTACTGCTGGTCTGTTTTCTCAAAGCAACCTCTGGACTACTTTGGCACATATGGCTAAATCAGAGGTACAGAATAACTTCAGTACAGCAAAATTCGTGATGTAACAGATGCTAAGCAACTGTCTGAGCTGCGGGTGCCAGACTTCTCTGGCGGGCTGCATGTGTCTACACAGACTTGTGTACACCAGCGTTGTGTACAATGCTGCCGTTTCGGCTGTGAATTCTAATGCAGACAGTGCAGGGTACAGAGGAGGTCACTTCTCACTAACATGCAGACTCTTACTGAGCTAAAACTGAGTAGGACTAACTGTAGTTCAGTGCAAATGATAATTTTAAAAAAATTCTTCTATTTCTGTCTTTCCCATAGGAACCTTGCCCTTGGGGGAGGCTTGCTGCTGCTTTTGGCTGAGTCACGCTCAGAGGGGAAGAGCATGTTCGCTGGTGTCCCCACCATGCGGGAAAGCTCTCCTAAACAATACATGCAGCTCGGGGGCCGTGTGCTGCTGGTCCTCATGTTCATGACACTGCTGCATTTTGATATGAACTTCTTCTCTGTAAGTATCTTGAGTAGAAAAGCATGGGTTAAGGAACTGAAATACAGTATCAGCTCCCAGGTTGGCTGTAGGGCTTACTCATTGCTGCTCATTTGTCACTTTTTTTAATTGAATTAACATTTTAAAAAGTTGTTAGATCATCTGACAACTGGTTCTGATGAACTGAACTGTTTACTGGTGCCCTGTTCTGTTGTCTGTGTATCCATTTAAGAACCACATGTAAGCTTGTTTGGTTTGTTGGTGGGTTGTTCTGGTTTTTGGTGTTTTGTTGGTTTGTTTTCACTTTTTTCTTCCTCCCTGCAGATTCTGCAGAACATCGTGGGCACAGCCCTGATTATCTTGGTGGCAATTGGCTTCAAGACTAAGCTGGCTGCCTTGACTCTAGTCATCTGGCTGTTTGGCATAAACATCTACTTCAATGCCTTCTGGACCATTCCAGCCTACAAGCCCATGCATGACTTCCTCAAATACGATTTCTTCCAGACCATGTCTGTAATTGGAGGGCTCCTCCTCGTGGTTGCACTGGGTCCTGGCGGAGTCTCCATGGATGAGAAAAAGAAAGAGTGGTAACAGGAGTAGCAACACTTTTGGGACATAGCATATTAAGTCCAGAACTGATTCTCAAAATACGGATTCAAAGTATGGATTCAACAAAAACTGCCAGCATTTTACACATACATGTCCCCTTCCTATTAAAGGCACAGATGTTTTGAATTTGATTTACAGTGGCACCAGTAATACAATAGATAAAACCTTATTTCTTCAAGGAATGTTGCCTAGGCTTATTGTTCTAACTTTATAGATTTGGAACTAACCCAATGAACCTGCATTTTGCTGAGGCTTCAGTGAGTTGCAATAGAACGGTTGCTGTCTTCAATGTCAGCAGTGTTTTAAAATTTGAAGTACTGTGAGCAGATACAGCTGTATCATTTGGTGTGCTGTTGGGTTTTAGCTATAACTGAAAAAGTGGATCCCCTTTCTCACCCTCATCAGAACTCTATCTTGTGTATAAGGAGTTCCACTGCTGGTTATAGCATTGCTTATCAAGGTGGAAAGCAGCATCAAAAGAACTCACTGTTATTTTGCTGCTCAGGGGGCCTGTAACTCTTCTTTTATTTAAAAAAAAAAAAAAAGGGGGGGGGGAGGTCTTTCCTGCACCCAAATAGATGGCAAAAAGAAAACACTGAAAGTAGCTATATCCTCTCCTAGGTAAGAAAAGGGAGAGGGTTTTCTAACTTGTAACGGTTCTGTTCTTGAGGGGAATGAGGTGAAATTCTGTATTGCTTATGCTATTTCAAGAAGGAAGGGGCAAGGTATTCCCAAAGAGAGCTAGATTCTGATAAAATTCTGTGCCAAAAGAACTTCTTAATTCAGCATTCTTTCCCCAGAGTTGCCCCTTCCTGAATTTCCAAGAAAAGGAGCTAAGCTATGCTGCAGGTTCCATAATAAAAGCTCCTTTCTGCTATTAAACCAGCTTCCATCCATACATGCTCCAAACTCATATCTGAATTGCAGGTTACTGGTGAAAGTGTCTCTAGAATCATGGAAATTCCCCTTTTCCCTGTACTCAGTACATGCAGAATGAGAGCAGTCAATCTTCTAAACTATAGTCTTTGCTTCCTAGATTCACTTCTGTCAGTCTCAGCTGCAAAAGCCCAAGTTGACTGAACAGTGGAAGAGCTGGGATGTTGAAGTGAGTAAAACCTCTCTCTCTGACATCTTGGCCCACACTTGAGATGTGCAGGGAAGGAGTGTGGAAGGCAGCTGTGTGCTGCGTACAGTCCCAGTTCTCAATGCTGTATTACAAAACAGTTATAGCTGAAGAATGCAAGCGCTAAGCCTGTGCAGTGAACAAGCAGCCAGGGATGTAACTTGCATATTCAGAGGAAGGAACTCCTCAGCTTAATAGCGAGGAGAGAGGAAGGTCCTGTTTTCACCTCTCAGTGCCACAGCCTCTGTGCCATGAACACATTTAGTTAGTGCTGCTCAGAGGAGGCATTTTGTCCTCTGCTGGTGAAGTAGGTGAACCTGTTTCACAAGATCATGAGAGCATTCTAGACTCCTAGCAAGCATGAGCCCTACCAACTTGCTAACATTACATGGATTTCTTGCACTGTTGTCTCCCTTGAGAAGGCTGCTCAGCTATTTGTTCAGAAAGTAATTCAGCTGAACTTTTCCAGCAGGAACTATTTACCAGATTTTCTTGGCAAGGACACTAGCCTGGACAGTTCTGTTAAATGGTTGCTTTTTAGGTGAGAAAACTAGGCCAAGAACTGATAGCAAATAGAAGAGCACTGCTTCATGTTAAACTAGTGATTTCAACTTCAAGGGAAAAGTAGCCCATGTAATAGATGCGCTGCTGCTGAAGAAAACTGATCAGTATGCGGGGTAGGTGAGAGGAAGCCAGCATTTACGTTCTGGTCACTTTGAAGGCTTTCTTCTAAACAGATTTTGCAGGAGAGGTTTTTGCCTCAAGTGTTAATTGTGCCTGTCTCTTCATAGCAAACCAAACTGTTCCTTTCAATTCCTGATGTTCAGCACAGGATGTTCTTGCTCAACTTCACTGCAGGTCCTGTAACTGTCTTAGACATCAAGGCAGCCATTCTCAGATATCTTAACTGCTGTTGATGTTCATAGTATTTATAAATTGAATGGTAGAAACAATTTCTGTACGTAGCCCTTAGTTAGCTTCCTCAGCTTGTTCTTTGTGTCCTGTCTAACTAAGGAGCTGGATGACAGACTATCTGAACTATTAACCAGTTTCCTCTGTTCTGTGAAAATAAAGAGTTAACTTTCCAACAAAAGACCCCAGAGAAGGGAATTGATACTGCCCCTTGCAGCAGAAATATTTTAGTACTAAAGGGGCACAGTTAGGTGGAGGGCATTATAAGGTATTTCTAAGCAGCGCAATACCTGGACTTTGAGTCCTGATGCAGAAGATTCTGGTTTCTTGCATACACTGCTGTATTTGTGCATCTCCCAGAAATACAGTGACCTCCCCCAGTAGCTGAGAAACAGGATGTCAGCTATCAATTGGCTCTGTAAAGTGTTCTGGAATTAATTCTGAATATATTTTTGCTTTCTATGTGGAAAAAAAAAGTATAAATTCTCATTTTATGCTGTATTTTGTACCTTAGTTGTGTTTGAAAATGTTTTGATTTTTTTGAAACAATCAAAATAAAAACAATGGCATCTTTGTATCCACTTAGAGTGTATGACTGGTGACACTTAAGCTATCTGAAAATGCTGGTTAGTGGCCTTGCATGCTTTTTTCCCACCTAATGGAAGTTGTCTTCTCGTAAAGAGATCCAAGCACTGGGCTTCTTGTATGTTAGTAATAATTCTTGGTGTTTGGTAGCAGGGGATGGCTGGAGACTTTTAGAATATAACTTGATTCCACCCCACTGTTTCCCCCTGCTGTATCAGTTAACTGGAATGGGCAGCAAGGTTTAAGGGCAAGCACTTCACTCTTCTGCTCTGGAATTGTTACACAAGAGGCTTCAAGCCATGTTTTTTTATCATTAAAGTTTATTTGCCATTGGTTGCTTTCCTGAAGTTCTTGGGTTTCTGATGACACCGCTTGAATTTTTTCCTTGGAGGGCCTGACTGTTTCTGTAGAGAGAAGAAATTAATCTAAACACTTCTAAACATTAAACCCAGACCTCCATGAAATAGCTTAAAGAGAAATAAAGCGTGCTCCTTGAACAAGCACATTCTAAGTCACTGTGAATGCAGGGCTAGCCAGGATGGTTTCTGGCCATATTGTACAAGTTAGCATCCCTGACAGGCAAACACCTCCCTTAAATAAAGTGCCAGCCTCCCCACAGAAAGGAGCCTATCCTTCTCCCAGCTTGATACCATTACAAGGGCTCCAGCACCTCTCTCAGGGGTTCCCTTAGAGCCTTTATCCATCTTTACTGTGGGGCTTCTTTCTGCCTCCCACACTGAAGGATCAGGGTATGCCCTCCTGTAAGCACACCCAAAGGCAAAAAGTGGCCAGCTCCTCAATGGAGGCAGAGAAAGTTCCAAAATGTGGACCCTGAGATTTCAGAAGCGTTCAGATAGCATGTGTGTGGGGGGAAGAAGATTACAAGTCCTGCTTCAGTCTCCCTGTTAACGACTGCGCAGCAGGATTCAATCACAGATGAGATATTTATGCAGGCAGTAACATCCCTACTCAGAGCAGGCAGGATAAACATTTCCTGCTAGTAATTCACACCTCAGAACGCAAGCCAGAGGCTGGCACTCGGGGAATGTATTCTCCCAAATAGCTTTACACCTTCTGCTGGTTCTTAGACAGGAATAGCTCAGACAGACACCTACAGGACAGAAGGCCTGTTCATGCTCCCCATCTGCAGCACACGGCAAAGTGACTCCCACCTTTCCCCTCTTGCCAGCTGCTCTGTTCACGTCTGTTCTTCCACCATCCTCACCCTTCACAACACCGTTCTCCCCATTCAGCTTGGCCTCATCTTCTTCGCTGTCTATTGCAAACTCATCGCTGGCCTCTGTGTTTTGTGGAGCTGCTGGGCTTTTTTCAGGGAAGAGTTCAGCTAAAATATAAAGATATAGCTTGGGATCAGTTCTTTGTGCTTGTAGGCTCTGCCTACTCCTAGCTTTACTTTCAGCACATCTTAAAGGTGATTTGACAAGGTGATTCCAGCCCCTGTCATTTATGTGTCACTACCAAAACACTTCAGTAATAAACACACTGGTGTTTTATTAGGAATGAGCTTAGGGCTCACACTAGGCCAGTTCTTGAAACTGGGCCACGCAGGCAGCTTTGGGGTCTTACAGCTCCACTCTCCTATGGCAAGGCAGTGTCTTCCAGCTGTGAGTCAGTGGGACAGCCTTACCAACTCCTGCCAGGCTGCAGGAGACTCACTGAGAAACACAGCAAGCACAGAGACCTAAAGCAAAGCCCAGCAGATCTTGTATCCCTCCCCTCACACCGTATGTGACCCACACTGGTATTACTTGGCGAGAACCACTCATGTTCAGTGGTGGCAAGCTTTTCCCAACTCCAAGACCCCCAAACTGGATCAAAGTCATGTCTCCAGCATGCGAGCAGACAGGAGCAGAACAAAGGTGTGAGAAGATGAGCTGGCAGGCTCCCTTTAGGACATAGGTGGTACTGATGTTCTTACTCACGTGGGTACAGATCACTCATACTGTCATCCGTCTCCTCTCCGTCCTCATCTGTCCTGGGAGACTTTGGCTCCCAGAATTCTTCCTCTCTCTGAGGCTGCCTGCTCCCATTCATTTGGTCGTCAGGGTGCTGCCTCCGTTGCTGCTTCTGTCGCAAGCAGGCAGGGACATATTCCACCCCTTTCTTCTGGCACTCCTCATCTAATGGTGCGAGGGATTGAGCAGCACTTAGCAAGGCTACCCAGTCACCGGCGTCCTGTTTATTTCCAGCTCCACTTTACAGAATCACAGAATCACAGAATCTCTAGGTTGGAAGAGACCTCAAGATCATCGAGTCCAACCTCTGACCTAACACTAACAGTCCCCACTAAACCATATCCCTAAGTTCTACATCTAAACGTCTTTTGAAGACTTCCAGGGATGGTGACTCAACCACCTCCCTGGGCAGCCTGTTCCAATGTCTAACAACCCTTTCAGTAAAGAAATTCTTCCTAACATCTAACCTAAAACTCCCCTGGCGCAACTTTAGCCCATTCCCCCTCGTCCTGTCACCAGGCACATGGGAGAACAGGCCAACCCCCATCTCGCTAGAGCCTCCTTTAATATACTTATACAGAGTGATAAGGTCACCCCTGAGCCTCCTCTTCTCCAGGCTGAACAAGCCCAGCTCCTTCAGCCGCTCCTCGTAGGACTTGCTCTCCAGGCCCCTCACCAGCTTTATATTAAAAGCAACTCAAAAGTATTTTAAGCTCCAGCTCTAAGACACATTCATACATTCAACAGTGACACCATGGAGCATTAAAGATGGGAAAGATGTTAACACAGAGTATGTGCAGGACACATGCTCCCCAGCTCCAGGGGAATCTTTAGAACCATTTCTTTCAAGTAAAGATATTCCAAAGTACTTGGTAAAGAGGCCAACTGCTCCCTACAGCTAGGATATTCCCAGCTGAGGAGCGCCTGCAGTAAATTACCATCAATCTAGAGAAAATTTACACCCTCTCTTCATAGAGAACTACTGGAATCTTACCAGCTCAAGGACACAAGTAGCTTTTCTGAAGATGGAGTCAGCCAACTTACATGCTTTCAGGGCCTTCTGGTAGCGTTTCCCTTGGACGTGACGGAGCACATGCTCTGGAAACTTGTTGATGTGTCTGAGGGTGAGCTTGCAGAACAGCTGATGTCTGAGAGAAAGAAGCAAGGCAAGAAGGACAGAATACTTTAGATAAGACCTTCCCAGCTTCCCAAAAACTGCAAGCGCTTGATAACTCCCTAAAGCTCAGCCACTTGGTCTGAGACTGAACCAAGCGCGACACACAAGGTGCAAGAAGAAGAATACGCACAGGTTCTTCGTGCTGGGCACTATGTGGGGCTCAAACTTCTCATAGGCGAACTCCTGGGCGCTCCTGGCCAGCCGCTGGTACCTCTTGCCGGCGGTGTATGCCTGCAGCTCCGCCAGCCGGCACGGCAGCTCGTGGCCGGTCAGCCTGCACCTCACCTGGCAGGAAAGCAGGGGCTGCTCAGGGATGGAGAAAACTCCATCTCCTGCCGGCCCTCAGCCCCTGACACAAACCCCTGAGGCCGCAGCCCGGCTCCGAGCCCCTTACCCGCCCTGTTGCCCCCTCACGGCCCCCTTCTCCTCCTCCCCAAGCCCCTCGGGGTCCTGCCCGGCTCACCTTGCCCGGCTCGGCCACGCCGAGCAGCGGGTGCTGCCTGAGGAACATGCCGCACCTCCTCCGGCACCTCCGCCATGGCCTCGCTGCCACACGGGAGCCCGCCTCTCTTCCGGGGCCGGCTGAGGCGGAGAAGAAGGCGGCTCCATTAGCGGAGGGAGGAGGGGAGACGAGGAGGAACCGGGCTGGAGGCGGCGGCGCCGCCATGGCGGCGGGAGCGGGGCTGCTGAGAGCCGGGAGGCGGCTGCTGGGGGAGCGGCGGGCAGCGGTGGGCGGCTGGGGGGGGGCTGAGGGGAATGGGGGGTGCTGAGGGGAGCCCTGAGGGCTTGGGGGAGGAATGAGGGGAGCGGGGGGCGGGACGCTGAGGGGAACCGGGGGGGCGTTGAGGGGAACAGGGAGGGTCTGGGGGGCTGCTGAGGGGAGCCGGGGTGGCTCTGAGAGGAAGCTTGGGGGGGTCGCTGAGGGGAACGGGGAGGGCCCGAGAGGGTCGTTGAGGAGAGCCGGGGGGGCTCTGAGGGGAACGGGGAGGGTCCGGGGGGGCACTGAGGACCCAGGGGAGTACTGAGGGGAGCCGGGGGGTCTCTGAGGGGAACTGGGGGGGACGCTGAGAGGAACAGGGAGAGCCCAGGGGGGTCTCTGAGGGGAGCCCGGGGGCGCCGAGAGGACTCGCACGGGGCAAGGCGAGGCCCGGCCCCCGCCGCCCTTCTGGTGGTCGGTGGGTGGGTGGGTGGCCCCCGGTGCGACCCCCGGGGTGGGGACGGGCTCTGCAGCACGGGGAGAAGTGGGGTAAAAGGCTGGAATCGGCTGCAAAACGCTGGGTGTGCGGCTGGCCTTGCACCACTCGAGCCCGGCAGCATGTATGTGAAACAAACCACAGTGCTGTGTACATGTTGCTGATGGCACAGATGGAAGGGGAACCATCATTTATTTTGCTCTGTTACTGAAATATTCATTCTTTTTTTCTTTTTAACTTGTAGCCCAGCCTTTAGTGTTTCACCGGCTGTTGCTCAAATAGCAAGCCACATCCTGTGCTGTCATTGGGACAACTGGTATAATCTAGATGTAACTTTTCCAAAGTAGAAATGCTACAATGGATCTTTTTTATTTCATGTAGGTATCAAACTGCTTGATCAGAAGAACATTTTTTGGATATCCTCTAACTAAAGCGGGTTCTGGTCGGATTCGGCAAACTAAAGGTAAGGAGGAATTTGTTTGGGACTCTGTCATCTTTTAGCCTTATACCAAAAGGTGACATTTCCTCGTGAATTCAATGTTTTTTCTCTTGTACATGTCTAATTCCGCACTCTGGCTTTCTTCAGATGTTTGCTTGAGGTTCACCAGGCCACGTAGCTCTACAACAGCTGCTGATGCATCTGGAGAGGACGTCATACTCAAATGGGGCCTTCTCCTTGTACCTCTGACTACATTCTGTCTTGGCACATGGCAGGTACAAATAAACATTTCACTTTTTTCAAGAATTAAGCACTTTAGGGGCGTCAGGATTTTCCATCTTTGACTGTTTATCCAGTTCAAACCATAGGCAGGGTAAAGATTTGCTGATATTTTACTTTTCCATTTTCCGAGTGTCTACTAGTGAGGTTAATGCAAGTCTTTAAAAGAGATTCATGTTTTTCACACTTACAGTATAAATATTTCCCCCAAATGAAGATAGTAGCCTCCATCTTCATATCTCAAATTATCCTGTTTCAGGTCAGGTCTGAGGGGAAACTTACGACAAAGAAACAGATATGAAAGCTTGCTGGGGTCATTACATTGCTCTGTACTGCCAATAGTTACTTTTGTATTTGTGTACTTTCAGGTTCAGCGGCGAAAATGGAAATTAGATTTGATTGCACAGCTGGCATCAAGAATTTCATCAGAGCCCATCCCTCTGACATTAGAGTAAGGAAGCCAAGATAGTTTATTATCTACCAAGCACTGACAGCATGCTGGGGATATCAGATAAGGTCTCTGCACTGATGGGTTCATGCTAAACTAAACTGCATGAAAACGAAGGAATGCAGTGGAAATTGGGATATGCAAGCAAATGAGAAAGACAGGCAACATGTTAAAATTATCTTATTTTAGATAACAGAGTAAGTGAACTCTTCCTTATGGAATACTCTAAAGCCATGTTAAAAGGTTGAATCACTGGGAGAATGTGGTATGTAATTCAGGCTGAAGAGAGGCTTGGTAGCTGGTGCTTGTGATGTCCCAGAACAGGGATTAGTCCTACAGGAAAGGATCCTTAGATCAATAGCAGGCCCTTCCCCACGGGTGGAGCAGTTACGTTAGACATGAGAGAATTTTTGGGTCGCTTGGCCATATGGCAAAACAGTCAAAATAGTTCAGTTGTTCAATTTCATGGTCTGGGACGGGAAAGAATCTCTCCCTGTTGTCTTGATGTGTTTGCAGTGCATCCACCTGCTGATCAGCTGTGTGTGTCATTGAAGTGGTATTGGGTTACAGATCCCATGGAAAAGAACTGCTTTTTGGATACTCATGATCATCCTGATTTGATTCTCAGTGATAGTAATAAAATAGTCAGCTGCTTATTCCACAAGGCGTCTGTCTTCTGCTTCTAATTGGCAGCTGGTCCTAGGGGTAAAATCCCCCAAATGTGCTTTGCCTATCACAACTCTGATTTGTTTTTATCTTATTCGGTGCAGCCCTATGGAGTTGAAGGAATTAGAGTACAGGCCTGTAAAGGTCCGAGGGCATTTTGACCACTCCAAGGAGCTTTATATTTTGCCACGATCACTTGTGGACCCTGAGCGAGAAGCCAGAGAAGCCAGGCAGCTGACATCCCACCCAGAAAATGGAGCAAATGTCATTACTCCTTTCTACTGCACAGAACTAGGGTAAGTTAAGTGATGGTTCTTATGAACAACTCATTTCTGTTTTGAAAAGCTGAATCGTAGAATCATCACCTTTCTTAAATACCTCCTAGGGTGGGGACTCCATCACTCCCCTGAGCAGCCTGTTCCAATGCTCAGTCACCCTCTCCATGAAGAAATTCTTCCCAATATCCACTCTAAACTTCCCCTGGTGCAATTTGAGACTGTTTTCTTGTGTCTTATCACTTGGCACCTGAGAAAAGAGACTGACACCCTCCTCGCTGCAATGTCCTTTCAGGTAGTTGCAGAGACTGATGATGGTGATTGGATTTATATAAAGTTCTCCCTCTCCCTTAAAAGGCACGTCTCTCAGTCTGTTAGGTGCTTGATGCTCGATTCCAAATTGTATTTAAATTCCCTTAGAATATGCACTCAGATGTTTCTTTCTTTGGTACTTAGTTGTAGACAGCAGCAAGAATGAATTTGCTTTATAATTCATGAGGTACGTTTGTCCTGTCTGTGTAACTCTAGGGTCACAATCTTAGTCAACCGAGGATTTGTGCCCAAAAAGAAGCTGAAGCCAGAGACCAGGCTGAAGGGACAGGTAAGAGGGATACAGGGAAGTCTTGCATGATACCTTCCACTCCCCACTGTACAGCACAACCTGCTGATTTATGACCAGACCCCAGTCACCAGGAAAGTGACTTTTCTACCAGGACTTAGCATGCTGAAACGTGAAATAAATCTTGAAAGATTCATTTTTTCTCCTCTGCACTTCTCTTCAGATTGAAGATGAAATTGATCTCACTGGGGTAGTGAGGTTATCAGAAACCCGGAAACCTTTTGTGCCTGAAAATAACATAGAGAAGAACCGCTGGCACTACCGTGACCTGCAGGCTATGGCAAAAGTGACTGGCGCTGAGCCCATCTTTATCGATGCAGATTTCAGTAAGTCACAGAGAAACTCAACCCCGTGTCCAATTTCCACCAGTCTCCCCCTTTTTGGTTCAGGTAGATATTTCCCTGAGACATTTCCAGAGGTATTGCACCTTTGTAGTTCACTGTTTTGAAGGTGGCAGCCAGGCAGCACAGGTGAGCAGTAGCATGTTATGAGAAGTGGTCTCAGGCCCCAGCCACGTGCTCTGGGGCAGAGTGCCTCCCAGCTTGGGCTTTGCTGGGATCTTGGGATCACCAGGGCTGGAAGTAGGGTGGGTATCCATGGGATCCATACCACACACGCTGAATTTCTAACAGCAAGGGCTGCTCTACACCACACAGACTAAAGATCTGACTGTGCACTGTTCTACCTACAGAAAGCACAGTCCCAGGGGGACCCATTGGAGGCCAGACAAGAGTGAGCCTAAGAAACGAGCACATGCAGTACATCATTACTTGGTAAGTTACTCAGTCAGCAGTTTGACCTTTTTTTCACGTAAAGGTTTCAACTGCTTTCTGCTGGAAGCAAGGGAGCTGTTTTTGTTTGGTGTTTTGCTTCTGCAGCAGTGAAACTGGGCGAGCCCTTCAGCTGCAAACCTAGTTTTAACCTAAGTAATATTTGTGAGGCGGTTTGAAGTAAATGCTCTTCATTGAATTGCAGCTGACTTTTAGGGAGGGATCGCCAATCTTGAAAATGTTTTTTATTTTCTGTCACAGGTATGGTTTATGTGCTGCAACTTCATTCTTGTGGTACAGAAAATTTATACAAAAGATACCTCTGTGAGGGGAAGGGCTACTCCCCTGTACCAGTCAAAACCAGACTTTCACAGAAGACTGCAGCCTGGTCAGTCCTGAAGAAGCCAATCTCAGGACACCGTGTTCATTAAGTTTGTGCAGCTAGCAAGCTGCAACTAGCCTTTAAGCAGCGGATGCAAGTTCTGTGCTCCTACCAGAGTGATTTCTGCCGCAGATCAGAAGCATTGAACTTCAGACTTGGAAGTGGCTGTTAAGCCTCCTGCTTGAATCAGCTTTCTAGGAATCTCAAGTATTTATTTTTCTATTGGGGTTGGGCAGTGGTTGGTCACAAGCTACACAACTTCTCCACTGCCATATTTGTAATGTTCAGTGCAAACAAATGATGGCAATGGATTTTCTAATTTCTTTGTTTGTAATTTATGCTTCCTTTGCACTGACTAGTCATTAGTGAAGTCAGGACTGATGCACTGCAGCTGCATCAGTATAAATAAAAGGGCCTACAGGTGTCTTTCTTTTGACTTGCAATGTGTATCTTGTATCTTAACAGCCAACAAGGACCTAAGAGCTAGCAGAAATAAAGAAATTCCCTCATAGTGGGCTGGAGCCTTGCCAAGCTTGTTAGCCTCCCAGAAAACCACAGGACCAGGTTAGTCAGGAAAGCACAGAAAGACAAGTTTGTTCAGATGCTTGTCCCACCACTACGGCACACCTTCACTGACCAGTATTGCACTGCAAGAGACATTATTAAGACCTCTTTAGGAGGTCTTAATAATCTGCTTGGCCTGGTAAAGTGCTATAACTCCCAGCATAAACATGTCTTTACCAAATCCATACAGTAACTTAGTCCAGGCGGTATTGATGATCTAGATCTATTTCCAACTCAGATGTTTACATAATTAAGCTAGGCTTAAGCCAGAAGTAGCCCAGCCCATTTGATTTTTCTGATCATCACAGCAGTGCTCTAAGCGAATAACCTGCTGCATGCCACTCTGCAGTGCTATTCAATCATCTGCTTGCAGGCAAATGGAGAAGTCAGGCAGTGATCACATGCAACCCACTGTCTCAAACCCTCTCTCTCATTAATAGAAACCACTGAAACTTCATCTGGGGGTTTATTCTTTTTATGTACAGAAACCATGGTAGCAGTCCAGTACATCTTCAGCCCAGCTTAGTAGCCAGCTCTTTGGCCTTTGCTTTTTCAAGCTTGGCAATGCGAGCCACTGACTTTGGCCCCAAGACGTTACCACCCCAGTGACGACGGATCTGCAAAGAAGTGAGAACAAGTTAAGATACCTCATACAATCTCATACTTCATCACTCAACTGACTTGCTTAATTCCACTCCTTCACGCACAAGGGGAAGAGCTCCCATGATTAGGAACTCTTACAAATTTAAGGCAGCAAACTACACCATGGGGGCAGCACAAAGACTTGACAGTTGAAAAATCTTTCCCCACCATCACATAATTTCTGGACTTCAGGAATGGAATCAAGTCTAGCTGAAGTTGTTGACATCTCAATACTCCTTACCCTGTGTTAATTGCATTTGCTTTTAACTTGGTGACAGTGTTCATCTTCTACCCCACCCTCAAGAAAGAATCTGGATACATCATTAAAAAAATCTAGATACATCACACCCAACAGGCTCTACACTGATCTCACTCGGAAACAGTCATTTGCACTTCACTGGGAAGCTGTTGGGGATGTTAACAGTATGAACTGGAAGACAAGGCTGGTAACAGAGAATCTTACCTCATCGTATCTGTCATTGTAGTTGGTCTTGACAGCTTCAACCAGCTTTGCAAGGGCTCCCTTATCCTCCCTGTTGGTGACAGGTTAAATTCCTATGCAGCATCAATTTAATGTCTTCTCTAAGTCTTTTGTCTCAGAATTAAACAGCTTGTAATACCAACGTTTTTCAGGTTAAGCATAGCATCATTTACAAAAGGTTAAACGCTCAAGCCATCAAAGCTGTAAGAACTCTCAATGCTTAGGTTGTAATTCTATTTACAGATCTCAGTTAAGAGTAAGCCATCCACTTTAGTAAACCAAAGTGATGTATAGCTTCAGCATCTGACAGACTGCTACATACAAAATGTCCTCTACATTAGGTATTGGAGAGGTAGTTATGCAAGCTGTTTTTTCAGTTTTCCTTTTTTAAACTAGAGAAACTTAAGTCTGGTATCTGTCTGCCCTGTAGTCCGTGTTTATGGGCAGTTTCTTTTCTCCACTGCAGAGCATCAAGTCAGCACACAGAATACTTACGGGTTAACTTGGGTGAAAGCAACGCAGGTACAAGTTTTCCTGTGGACCAGTCGCCCCAGTCTGGCCTTGCTCTTGATTATGCAGTATGGCACTCCCATCTTGCGGCACAGAGCCGGCAGGAAGACCACCAGCTGGAAAGAGACAGAGTGCTTTATCACTGAAGGAGAACAGCTTTTTATCCTCTCAGTTGGCCTGGGCTGTGGCAATTGCTCAGTGTTAAAAAGCTCGTTTTTGCTCTTCAGCATTGATTCAGGTGAAGAAATTCATACATCATCGCAAGGGCCAAGCCTCAGCTTAATAACATGACAACGTAGAACATGCCTAAGCACTCCACTTCTGGTAAACAAGTTTTGCTGTGTTTAACACAAAATCTGTTCATCCCAAAATGCATTCTCACCCCAAATCCAGTTCTGACCTCAGCTTAAATTACACAGGCAGGCTCTACCTTGTACTACTGGGGATGCTTACCTCAATGGGGTCCACATCATGGGCAATCACTACAAGCTGCGCCTTCTTGTTCTCTACCAGAGTTGTGACAGTGTTAACACCTGAAAAACAAGTCAGAAATGTTTTAGGTCAGTCTTTTGTCTGGGCTTTCCTATAAGCTTCATACAACGTGCTGTTTCTATAGCACACCACTGTGAAAATTGTGAACACTTCCACATCCTTTCAGTAACAGAGAAGCCGTTCCTTGGACAATTTGCTAAAGCTCAGGGTTAAAAAGCTCGTCTATTTTGCTCTTCACTTTGAGTTCAGGTGAAGAAATTCACACATCATTGCCATAGCATGTCCAATTCTGTATGGCTGCAGCAGAAGGCACCCCCATTCCCACATATGTGAATAGGCAAGTTCGTGTACACTTACCTGCCCGGAGAACTGGTGGCCTCTTAGTTGGAGTATCTCCCTTTCCTGCAGCTTTCTGCTCAGCACGAGCCAGCAGCCTCTGCTTCTTCTCTTGCTTAGTTTCTGGCCTGTATTTGTGCGCCAGCTTCAGAAGCTGCGTAGCTGGAAGAGAACACAGACTAGTTAGCTGTGTCACCTGAAAATTTCTGCGTTACATTCAAAGGACTCAAGTGCATCAGCGATCTTGGTGGTTGTCATCAAAGTGTATTTAGATAGCAAGTTAGCATCACCTGCACAATGCGGGGCAGAGCTAGCAGAGTGCCTCCAGAGCCCGTATTTACCTCTGGGCATCTTTACTGGCAACAAGAGCTCCTTTACTGCTTGGCTGAGAAAGAGCCTGCAACTCACAGTAACTACAGTTAAAGGTGGTGCACCTTCCTCTGAAAGCCACTTGTTGGCAACATCTACAAGGGTTTTGTTTATAGTTTCTTGCATTGACACTATCACCTGAAAGACTATTCACTCATGCACAGAAGCCCCTGAAGTACCTTTCCCCCCATATGTATCAAATCAGCCTGCAGGATGTTAGCTTTCCCTCCAAAGCCTGCAATGAGAAAGATTTCTCAACTTATCTGACAGTCAAAGAACCCTACATGTTCTCCATCAAGCTAGAAGAACAGTCTCCAATTGAAACACAGTTAAAACAATTCTGGGTTAGCATCCCTAAGTAGGAGCTCTGGTATTTTCTACTCCCTTTTCAAAGCACTTAGCAGCCACAAAATTTTGGTTAGCAAATTCGTAAGGCAGCTTGTTGTTCCCATTATCACAGTCATTAAAGCCTCCCTGAAGTGCTTCCAGCAATGCTGCAGATTACCTCTAAGTCTTATTTTGGTTTCTTTCCTGACACGCAACCCACTGAAGACCTAAGTCAAGAGAATTTTGTGGGGCACACCCTTACCTGTTTGGCGGTCCAACGCCTGAGTGAACTGGTTAATTGCAGGAGGCACCTTCAAGCGCTTGTACAGAATGGACCTCTGGCGCTGGAGTCTGATGTAGCGGGGCCATTTCACAAAGCGTGTGAGATCACGCTTAGGCTGGATATCCTGTCCTAGAAATACAGACTTCACTCACAGCCATTCCCACATCACACAGCAGCAGCGTGGAACAGGCAGGAGTGCATCAGCGATCTTGGTGGTTATGTATGTCAGCACAACCATTCAGATAACAAATGTTTTTTTACATCATCTGCACACAATATAAAAATGGTACTACGTAAACCTGACTTCAATGACTACATCTCATGTAAATGGGCAAGATGCACCACAACAGGAAGATGTAATGCATCTTTGCAGCATGGAAAATCTAGCAAGTTATCCACAGACACCTCCAAATATCTAGTGAAATATTACCACTAAAATACTACTACTGATGGTAGTAAAGCAACTGCCTGTAAAACTCTGCAGTTTTATTATAATCCTGCATTATTTACATGCTTGTTTATTAAAAAAAAAAAAAAAAAAAAAAAAACTATTTTTGGAGTAGCCAAAAAGTCTCCCCTTACTCACCGATGCCAAAGTTCTTGGGCCTCTTCTCAAAGAGGGGATTGACGACCTTCTTGGCCTCCTGCTTCTTGACTACAGCAGGGGCCGGTGCCACCTTCTTACCCTTGGCCTTCTTTCCCTTCGGCTGCAAATAGAAAATAAACACATTTTCCTTTTTTTGCCTGAACTACGTGGTGCACTTTAACAGCTTACAGCCCACCTCGAAAATACCTATTTCCAGTCAGCCAGCCAGGCAAGATGCCTCACTCCTCACATGCCCAAAGCTTCTGGGAGTTTTAAAACCTTAACGAGGCTCCCCCCAGCCGGGAGCGGCCTCCTCCGGCCATAGAACCGCTGCGGCCTACCCGGGCCGCCCCGCTCCGCCGCTCGCCTCCTCGGCCCCGCCGCCCGCCATCCGCCACCACAAACCCATCCCGAGCCCCTTCCACATCCCCCCGGCGCTGCCGAGAACCCGCGGCGCCTCCTCAGCGGGCGGATGGCGGCGGATCCCGGCGGCCCCCCCCCGCCATTCCCGCGCCGGCCCCCGCTCACCATCTTGGAGGCAGGAGAAGAGGAGGGGGGCGGGGCGCGCCGCGGGATTTCTGCGCGCTGCGAAGTCTCGCGAGAGGACGGGGGTGGGGGGGTGAGGGCGGGAGGAGGAGGTGTGGGGGGGGCGATTTTCTGTCATGGCGCAGCAGCGGGTGCTGCCGCAGAGCAAGGAGACCCTGCTGCAGTCCTACAACAAGCGCCTCAAGGATGATGTCAAATCCATCATGGACAACTTCACCGAGATCATCAAGACTGCTAAGGTGGGAGAGGAGAGCCCGGGGGGTCCCCCTTTCCCCCCCCAAGGGACCCCTTTTCCCCCTCTGAAAGCCCCTTTCCCCTGAGGGAGCAGGGTCCCCTCTCAGGGTGGGTGTCTCTCAGTTCCCCCTCCTGCCCCTGGAGCAGCCCAGAGGGGCTGCTGAGTGAGGGGAGCCCCTGAGGGGACGGGGTGGGCTGGCTGAGGTGGGCAGTGGGCGACCCAAAGGCAGCCCCCCAGGGGTTGCGGGTGGAGGCTGAACTGGGTAGAAACAAATTCCTTCCAGTGTGGGGGAGTTGTGTTCAGGGTTTTGGTGTGTGAAGATGGAATTGTGTGCTTTTTTTTTTTTGCTTAGATTGAGGACGAAACTCAAGTCTCTCGAGCAACACAGGGTGAGCAAGATAACTACGAGATGCACGTCAGAGCTGCAAACATTGTAAGTAGCACTCTCATACTCAAGTAATTGGGCAGCGCATCCTTCAGGAGCGGCTTGGTTCATTATTGCATTCAGAGCAGCCTTCATAGCACTCACGAGGACTGCTGCTGAAAGAGTAACTTGATATTTGGGGTGTCTATGGGGTAAAACCTTTCCCTAGGGATAAAGCTTGGTAGCCTGGGTTGTCAGCAACAGGCTTCTGTCAGAATCCTCACCTAATGTGGAAGCTTCATCTTAACTGGGGCTTGAGCTGCCAGAGTAACTCGGGAGACCTTGTTCTAGAATTGGAATGAAGCACTGCTTCAATATACTAATGCTACGTGGTTTCTCTCTCTGCTATGAGGTCCGAGCTGGTGAGTCCCTGATGAAACTTGTGTCTGACCTGAAGCAGTTCTTGATCCTCAATGATTTCCCCTCTGTGAATGAAGCTATCAACCAGCGCAACCAGCAGCTGAGGAGCTTGCAGGAGGAATGTGACAAGAAGTTGATTGCACTACGGGATGAGATCTCCATTGACCTGTACGAGCTAGAAGAAGAATATTACTCTTCCAGGTACAAATAGGGCAGTGGACTTCTCCTTAGTGACTCCACCCCTTCTGGGGGAGTTTGTCCAGACAAACAAATAGTCCTTAGCTTATAGGTCTTGAGAATGTTCCCAACAGAATTTTATTCCTATTTATAATTCAGTCAGACTCTCAGCAGCTCAAAACAACTGCCACTTCCTTGCAGATATCCTACAGGGTATAAATGTCTTGATGAAGGAGATATTCACAGCATCTAGGTGCCTACTTCAGTTGGCTAGATTTGACAGATAATTTGCATAGGATCCTTTGCAATCATTGTAAATGGAGATGAATTTCCTTGGGGGACATAGGCTTCTGTCTCAACATCCCTCTGTAGGAACTTCTATCTCTCTCTGTAGGAACTTTTATCTCCCTAGAGAGCCTAGCTTGCTGAGCTGGGTCCTAATGTTAGATGAGATTAGTACATCCCCCATCCTTGTGGTGAGTTCTTTCACAAGTGACCTGGTAACACAATGTGCCTTTTCTCTTGTAGTCCGCTGCTCCAGTTGCCTGGAGTCCTGTTGAGGAAATGAGCAAAAAAGACATGCTCAGTTTCATTGAATTATGAAGTATTGTGATAGGATTTTTTTAGGAAAGATTTATAACTCGTTTGTTTCTGGAATTTTTAAGATTTTAAAAACACTTTTACTTAGAAAACAGATTTTAGAGAATTTAGGCACTTTATTTTTTTAATTTTTTTTGTCATGCACTCCAGCACTTGTAAATGAAAGCAGAAGAAAACAAATGAGAACCTGATTATGTTGGCTGCACTGCCCAAACTAAGTGAAATCAGTGCAATAGTGGTGTGAATTCTAAACAAAAACTTTTCTAAATCTTACACAAAATTTTCATGTCCAGGTTTTCCATTTTTGTCTCTTCCCTCTTTCTAAAAATTCTCAGTGTCTATAACCCCAGATAAGTTAACTAAAACCGTAATTGCTCAGTACCTTTGGAAGTTAGGCCATTGTTTATGGGTAATATAAATATTTTAACACTAAAATGATACGACATAGTTTAGAAACTGCTACAACGCTTTAAGAAAACTCGAGGTAAAGTTTAGAGTTGGTTTTCAAACTTTACTCAGTTTTTGGGAGAGGTGGCAAGGGGTCCTAGAAACGTCTCGGAAAGGAAGAGTGATGATCACAACCCTAAGCACTACTCCTGGCCCTAATGGGTCAGGGACGTATCCACTACACAGACTGCACACAGCACAGCGTGGGCTGCACCAGGGTGACCCAGTGTGGGATGGCAGTGCCTCGTGTGCCAGAGGAGCTTCTCCTTCACTGTCACCAGGCTGCCCCGGCTGTGTGTCAGTTTTCCTTCTTGGGCTAGGGGGTTCTGACCATGCTGGCGTGGTCTCTTAACCTGCCTGGCACAAGGTGCCGTGTAAAGCAACCCTTTGTAACAGAGCTAACATCTAAACACAAATGGTTCTCTTTCCTGGTACACTAAATGGATCTGCCTTCACGTTCTTTCTTGTAAGAGTGGTTGTGAGGTGAGGAAGCTTGGCTAGTGTACAGAGCTATGATCCCTCCACTGAAACCTCGTATCATATAGCACTTAATCATTGCTTTTAGCGCTTAACTCCCTTCTTGTGCTCTTTCCTGCCTTTTTCTGCACCAAAGAAATTGTGTGTGTAAATACAGAAACAGTGATTTATTCAAAGACCTTTTATAATTATAATATTAAGATATTTTTAATGACATTTTATTGCCTGATGTGGGAAAACATTTTTGTTATGTCACATAGCCGTAGGGTGTTCTAATCATGTTGAAATGGCTGTGAATGTAAAAGCTGGCCTGCCCACCAACAGGACGTTTTTCTGTGCTGACCTGGGAGCCCGGCTGGGGTTTCTCATCTGTACTCCGTTACTTTCTCCCGGGGCTTGATCCCACAGGATGTGTAAAGAGGTGCACAGCCCTCTGAGGACAGGATGTGGGTTCCATGCAGCAGTCCTGCCAAACTGTTCTCCAGTGCCCCGGTTACCCTGAAGTTCAGCGGTGAGTTCATTTTAGGTTGTCCCCCCAGGGAAAGCTGTAGAAAAGTGAGTTTCCTAACAGCTGTGAAAGGCCTGTTAGAGGTGTTAGAGGGAGCATGTCCTGCCCAGCAATTGTCACTGCCTTTTTTTTTATGCTAATAGCACTGAGAGGCAGCCCCTTGCACCACAGCCAGTACCCAGCAGGATGTGCCTGGGCTGTAGGGTTGGGCTTCCTTGCGAAGCTTTTCCTGTCCACACGGGGGATTTGGTGAGAGGACCTGCAAGCAGGTCGATGAGACTGAAGCTGAGAAGATAGCTCTGAGGGGGGCTCTGCTTTTAGTCCCTGTGTTTGAGCAGTTTCCTGGAGCTGTTCCTTCGTGCACAGACCTGGCTGTGTGCCCCAGGGAGAACAGTGAAGTCTCTTTCAAACACTAAGAAACCTTCAGCCAAAGGCCAGGATAGGACTTTAGGTGGTGCTGCTGCGGGCCGTGCAGCTGCTGCTCTTCCACTCGCCTTTCAAGGAGTGGGATGTGAGAGGTTAGGTTTTGGGAGCTGTTCGATCTGGGGCAGCAGCAGAAGCAGCTACACACGGACGCAGCTAAAATGTTCTTAGAAACTGACCTGCCAGGACAGGTGTGGTGGATGCCGTGGCTGGGTTCTCCTTGGAAACCACGGCTTGGGGTTTGAGACTGACAGAAAAGGGACTGGAGCTCTGGGTCGGTCCCACGGGTTTTCACTGAGTGAACCCAGAGCTGCTTTGTGCTGGGGACTCGAGGGCAGGGGGAGCCTGCTCCAGCAATAGGAATCTTTCGAGGGGTTTAACAAAGGCCCTGGGTATAAAACCCGTATCCACTCCCTCCCCACTTCTACTGCAGCTGGGTGAAGCTGCCAGAAAAAAGCTCAAATGTTAGGTGCTTGCAACTAGTGCTTTGTGTGCTTATTCTTCAAAGCAGTAACTCCAAGTCCAGCTTGCCTTCTGCCATCCTAAACCCAAAACTTGTGTTTATGTTCCATTGCTCCCTCCTCTGAGATCACAGGAGCTGTCTTGAGTGTGGACTTAGACCTCAACATGTTTCATGTTTGTGCAATTTGAAGTGTCTCGTATTTCTGCACTTAAACTATTTCCCAAAGCATCTATTCAAGTCCATACATTAAAAATGTAAATAAAGCTACAACGACAAAATCACTGGACCCACTGGGTTTGTTTTACTCTGATCGCAAGCTGCTTTTTGCTCCAGCACTCACTTTGTCTTGGGTGTCTCTTGTGTGTGCAGCTCCTTCCTCTCTTTGGAATTTTTCTTGTTTTTGTTCCAGTTTCTTCCATCACTTTATTTTTTAGTTTTGCCCTTCCGCGTCGTGTTTTCCTTGTAGCACAGGCAAGAATTAGCTGGTTGCTTACTCTCCCATGCTGCTGATTGATCTGACTCTGTAGCCTAGTGGTTAAATCCAGCAAGTTGCTTTGTAAGAACTGTTACCTCCAGTACTGCTGAAACCTGTAGAAGCTGACAGCACTTTATAGGTTGGGAAGCTTCAAAAGAGGATGCAGACCTTCTGTGGAGCACTTTACTGAAGGGGAAAGGAGGCAAATAGACACTAAATTTAGAGCATGGTCGAATTTTTTCTCTCATGTAGGTTGTAATCAAACTCCCACAAGAAGGGAGTACGGATGAGGTCTTTGCCTCACTCAAGAGCTCCCAACTGTGCAGTATCAGAACCTCAGCCCAGATCTTTCTAGGGACTCGTAGTGTCTGGATTAGAACTGAGCCTCTGCTTCAGTTTGTAGCAACAGCTTTGTCTCTGGAATTTCCCCGATCCTTCCCAGGCCCGTGGGATTCAACACCAGCCCCTGAGGGGTGTCTTAGGCCAGTGCCACGAGACTTGTGATGAATTTGTGAACGCAGACCTTACATCCATGAACATTTTTTTGCCATTTTCTTAATGCTTTGCTTCTGTCTTGCTTTTCCTCCCTCCCCTCCTTTCTTATTGCACCTGCTGCCTCTCCTTACGGGGGTTGTTTGTTCTGGAAAGCTACAGTCTGTGTGACAGCAATGACCTACCGCTGTGCGAAGCCTACTGGAGACAAGATTTTGCCACGCTGTCCCCCGAAAGCCTCTCCATGCCTCTGACAACTGCCACAGCAGAGCAGAGCGTTGCTACCTCTCAGAGCTCGACCCCATCGCACCCTCACGTGAACGGGCATGGGGCGGGCCCGACGGAGCACTCCTGAAGAGGATTCTTTGCTGCTGACCACGTTCTTCCTGGTGGCGCTGAGCTGCTGGAAGTCTTCAACCTGCTGTACTGAGCGAGCATCTCCTGCTGTCAGGAGAATGCACTGGGGCTGTGTCTGCAGGATTTTGCTTGCTGGACAGCCACAGTGCTTTCTCCGTGCCTGGGACACTGCCACGGGTGTTCCTCGCGCTTAAGAGAAGTGCTAAGTAAGTTCCAAGCTGATTGTTCTAACAAATTAGAGTTAGGTTTGCTTTTCCGTGACAGTTAACGTGTAGAGTTCGTTAGAAATCCAGAATTTATTTCCATGTGAATCTCACAGTAAGTACATGGTAGAGTGCTGGGAGCTGAACTTCTTAGGGCTAAGAAACTCAAGCCAAATCTGGGAGTGGTGAGTGTTTTGGGAGCTTTATGCTATTCCCATGGTTCCTGACATTCTGGCTGCTTTAAAGCTTTCTCAGGATGCCATCAGACAACTTCTGTTCTACTTAGAACAGAAACCTAAGAATCTTACAGTATTTTTACTCAGCATTCTTCACTGTCGAAATGCTTCACAAACTTGAACTTTTTGCTGGGAACCCTTTGGGAGGAGGCTCTCTGGGAGGCCTGTGTTGACGAGCAGTATTCTGCCTTTTGGAAAGAAAAGGGCAAACTGAGAATCAGACAGGTATTACATGCTGGGACTCGTTTACAGCTATAGATAGAAGCAGGAGCACCCTCCTGTTAGTCTGATTCCCTGTTCCACAATTTACACAGCAGCTTTCAATCAATGTAGCGTGAGCTAGCGTACAGCTTGCATTCACGTTGGTGATCGTTTCTTTAATTAATCCTTCAGCCAACTGAGGTGTGTGGAGCAGGGGGGGGTGACTCAGTTACAGTTTCCTTCCAAAGAAGCAATTTGGGTGCTTTGTTGGGCAGCTGGGCACTCGTGCCCTCTGTGGTTATGAGGTGGCTCTGAGTGTGCAGCCCGAGGGGTTGGGGGGAGCCGTGATGGCCGCGGGGCTGCTGCGTTCAGAACAGCAGAGCAGAGCTTCCCCAGTGTCCCGCTGTACCGTCTTGTTTCTTCGGGCGCGAGTTTTGGTTTACTTCCTCTTCTCTTTCTTCCATTCCATTTCTTTTTTTTTTTGTAACTAGGTGGTTTAATAAAATAACTCCTTTGTATATATTTTTTTTTAAGCGTGTGTTTTCAGCCACAACCCTCTGTGAAACCATGACACCACTGAGTGCAAGCATGCATTAGGACGAGCGTTAACTAAAAAAAACCCTCCAGCTGCAGCCCCGGCCCTGCCAGAAGCACCCCAAACTGTGCGAGCCCATGGAGGGGCAGCTTTCTGCGGGTGCCCTGCTTTGTGTCTGCCGAAACATGGCCCCAAAACGCCCCCAGCGGTGCCCCCCCGTGTCCCAACCCCCCAAGCTCCATGTGGGGCGCTGCAGCCCCGAGCCTGAAGGGATCTGATGGGTATGGGGGGGGGGGGGGGGCGCTGCGGGTAGGCCCTGAGAGCCGCCACAACCCGGAAGTGCCACCACCGTTGCCATGGCAACAGCTTGCTGCTGGCACTTCCTGCTGTGCGTGGTGGCGTCACTTCCGGCGGGGTGGCAGAGGAAGGGGCAGGCTGCGGGAGGCGGCATGGCCAGCCTGGCCGCGCAGGACCGCTACCTGCAGGGCCTGGCCAGGAGGGCTGGGGTGCGCCACAGCCCCGAGCGCCCCCAGCCGCGGAAGAGGAAGCCGGGTGAGGGAAGGGGGGGGGTTGGAGAGGGACGTGGAGGCGCCTCGGGGCCGGTTGAGGGGAGCAGGGGCCGGGGGAGCTGGCTTGGGGCTGGTCCCTGAGCAGGGCCGCTGTGGTGGGACGAGTTGTGAGCTCGGGTGGTGCGCGCTGCTCTGCGAGTCGTTGGTCTGCGTTCAGCCTTACACGGGGTGACTGGGTGTGGGAACATGGGGTTGATCCTAAAGTGGTCAACAAGGGTAGCTCTGTGTAAATAAATCCTAAAATACGCCGGTTTTCACGATTGAGATACGCCACTACAATGCTGCACGCTGGGAGTGCAGCTACAATCTTCCTTAATCGTAGAATCATTAAGGCTGGAAAAAACCTTCAAGATCATCTGTTCTAACTATTGATCTTTTCTTTCTTTTTTTTCTTTGCCTTCTAGTATCTAAACCAGGTCAGGCAGGGAATGGTAGCAGACCACCCCAAAAAAAGAGAAGGAGGTCCAAGAAGCAAGATGAGAGAACAAATGCGCCTCCAGCTAAACAGGGAGCCTCTAATGCCAATAAGCTTGCTCCAGAACAGAAAGCAGCCCCTCAAGCCAACAAATCAGCTCCGCCGGGTGTTACACAGAACAAAAATAAGAGTTCAGACACAGGTAAGAATAGCAGAGCTGTCTGTGGTCAGGTTAAAGATACCTGAGCCAAGGTGGCTGTGTTTCAGTTGTTTCATATGTGTATAGTTTGGAAAGCATGTAAGAAATCCAGCTGTATTGAAAGCTTTTTAGCTTAATCTGTGAATATAAACTTGCAATGTGGCCACTGGGTGGCTCTCTAGAATTACGAGCACTTCCTAGGAATTGCAGGGGTTTTATATATTTGGTATCTTCTGGGCATTATTACATGGATACAGTCTGTATCTTCCTATGCCTGCTTTCCATTAGGAACCTGAAACAGATGAATGGGGAGATGCAACTGGCATCTTTGTTTCCATTAACTCGGTATTTTTATCCCTTCTTGTTTGGGAACTACAGGGCCTGACAAGCTACTCAGGCTGGTCAGTGTTGAGTGATGATGTGGATAGAAAAAGGGGAATTTTAAAGAAACCAATAAGGTGGACACTCCTGTTTTCATTAGATTCTATGAATGGAAGAAAAATTTCAGAGAGCTCTCATAGCTTTTTCCCATAGCCATAGAAAATTGCTTTGTTTAGCTTCTGCCGTATTTCAAGTATTTTTATTTTCTGTCATTTTCAGGTGGCAAAAGTGAACTCAATTCCACTTCTTTTTCTGCGATAAATCTCTTGCGTCAGAGACTACATGAGAAGATTAAAGAAGCTTCAGGACGAGTATGAGAACTCTTTAATGTGTACCCTTATGTGTGTGGGCAGTATGAATTCTCCCTGGGCTACCATGGCACATGGGGATGAGGTTTAGGCTTTGAGATAATTCCATTCCTTAAGGAAGTGCCTGTAGGTAGTGCTGGGAGTCCTGTTTATATTCTGGAGTCCAGAAAAACACATGAAAAGGTAGCTCTTAGCTGGGAGCAGCACATGCCTGTGGTGGTATTTGAGAAAGAAAAGGCACAAAGTCTGCAAGGAACATAGCCACAGGATGCTCAGAGGGAGCAAAAGCTTTGAAATGTATTTACTATGTTTATTATCTCTAAAAGCTGAGCCCACGGCTTCTTACATACTCCTTTTCTAACAAGAGGTTTGAAATACATCCCACTTTTAGCTTTGTATTATCTCTGTAAGGCTCCTGATTCATGTCCATCCTTCTTCTTAGGATGATGACAAAGAACTATCCCCTTCAGTTCTGGAGAAGAGGCGGCGAAGAAAGTATGAGAAGGAGAGAAAGAAGCGCCGAAGAAAGGAGTTGAAGATGAAGGCAAAAATGGAGAAGAAGGAAACTGAGGATGTACCTGTAGAGCCACAGAGCAAAAAGGAAGAGAGTACAGCTGAGATTGTCTTCAACAGGGTTGAAGTCCATGAAGAGAACGATTTGAATAAGATCCAGAAGAAGAAAGAGAAGAGGAAAGGAGTGAAAGGTAAAATCACTCCCCTGACGGGCAGAAACTACAAGCAGCTGCTGAGCAGGCTGGAGGCTAGGAAGAATAAGTTGGAGGAGCTCAAGGATAAGGACCAGAAGAAAGCTCAGGAGCTAGAGAACAAAATAAAATGGACAAACCTTCTCTATAAGGCGGAAGGTGTCAAGATTCGTGACGACGAGGAGCGTCTTAAGGAAGCTCTGAAGCGTAAGGAGAAGCGTAAAGAACAACGCCAAAAGCAATGGGAGAAGCGGACAGAAAAAGTGGTAGAAAGGATGCAGCAGAGGCAGGAAAAGCGCCGCAAGAACATTCAGAAGAAGAAGAAAGAGAAGATAGAGCATAAGAAAGCCAAGGCCCGGAAGAAGGGCCGTGTTCTGCCAGAGGACTTGAAAAAAGCCGGCCTGTAGTGGGTGAGAGGCAGCTAGTGCTTGCAGCCTGGCCACGGGAGTTGTGGCGAGGGGCTGCTTGTGGGTTTTTTTTAATGAACTTTTACAAAATGGTTTCGGTGCATCTACCTGACGCTGGTTGGGCTGCGGGTGCCCACATCAGACCTGGGGGCTGGAGGAGGCGGTGTCTGAGGAACCCGCCTGTGTGCCAGTCAGGGCGGTGGCCACCCGAGTCAAATAAAAACAAACAAACGAACTTGTGTGTGTGCGTTAATTAGCTGTCCTGTCCTGCAGAGATGCTTTCAGATTGGGTTCCATTTCATTATTTTCCTGAAGACACACGTCACGGCCTCCCTTCCCTCTCAGGAGAGGCGCCCTGTGAGGGGCTGCGGCCTGCTCCTGGCTGGGCTGGCGGCCATGTCTCTGTGCTGCCATGGCAACGGGGCCTGACACTCTGCTCCTTCCCTTCTGCGGCCAGGGAAGGAGCAAGGAGCCCCCGGGCTGCTCCATGAGCAGGGGCTGAAACTGGGACCAGCGTGTGGATCCGCTGCCAGGAGCATTGAGGCCCGGAGGGTCGCTCTCCTCCCCGTAAATCCAAGCACCGGCCCCATGCAGCCGGTGGGGGCTGTGCGCCTCGTTCCCCTTGGTGATGTCTACACGCAGATCTTTGAAGATGAGGTAAAGAACAGCAAAAGGACGAGGCAGGGAAAAGCTGAGTTAGTTGTGCTGCTCAGCTTGTTGGCTTCTAAAGTGGTGGTGGGAAAGCAGAGGTGAATGTCAGCTGTGCTGGTTTTGTTTGCTTTAGCAGAAAATAGTTACCTTCAGCATGTCCTTCCTGGTGCATCTGAGTGTTTGTGCGTCTTCACTGGATACCAAGACATATTAAATGCAGAATCATAACACAATGTTATAAGACAAGGCCTAGTAAGCCAGATGGATTTTCTGTCTCTGTCATTGACTTTCCTTTTAACCATTCCCCAGCCACGCAATTCAGTTTGCTCCAATTTTCCTGAGAGGGGACAGTTATTTTCTTTTTTTCTCATTTTGAAAATAGTATTGGATGAAAATCTTCATGCATGTGCTAAATAGAATTTATTATTTTATCATTCTCTTCTGCCACCTTTACCCCACTGTTTTTATCAATAATTTTCTTATTCTCTGTTCGGTAGCTTTGGAAAGAATTCTAACTTTTGATTATGGTTTTTTGAAGGTTCAATTAGTACGCTCTTTGGATGAAGTAAGGAGGAAGTATAGGGCTTCTATAAAGAGCAGAAGGGTCTCTCTGGTTAGGGATTCAGAAACTTCGACTGAGGTAGAGCCGTTACCGTGTAACCAGCAGAAGGGGGCTGGAGGAGTGCCCTACGAAGACTTCCCAGCAAGGCCACCACCATGCAGGTATAGAACAGAAGCAGAAATACCCGATCGTGTGTTTGTGATTGTGGGCATGAAGTGTTAAGATTCGCCCTGGGAACTGGATGCTTCCTAATTCTTGGTCGTAGCACTAACTGCTTGTGGTATCTTGTCTCCTTTCTGCCAGTTGTACAATGTATTTTCTGAGTTGGTGCCTGTTAAAATTCAAATTAGCACGCTAATATTTCTATTGGCCTATCTGTATGGCTTTTCTTCTTAAAAGCTATTTTATTATTATTTTATTATTGCATTATTTTAAGCTGTATATCTGATACAGCCAATTATATATTATTGAACTATATTTTTAAGATTATGTAATAATATTCTTACTGTTAAGTAGATTGTTTTCCTGTATGTTTGAATAGTTTTCCTAAATTTAGTTGGCCTGAATCTCGTTTTAATGGAATTCATACTGCCTTTTAATAATGCTCTGCTCTGAGCTGCATTTATAAGCAAAAAAATAAATTAGTGCCTCCATCCTTTTCACCCTAACTGTTCTGCTGAATAATGACACCTTTATTCCCACTTCTGTCAAGAAGCACAGTGCCCTAACTGATAGGAAGATCAGTGGGCAGATAAAGTCTGTTTCTACATTTCTTGCTGTTTCTTACATAGATTTTTTACCTGTTAGAGATAACATGTATGTCTCTGTAGTTTACATGTATTAAATCTATCGTTTATTACTTTTATGCCAATGTGTGAGATCTGATATTGTGATGAACTGAGGACTAATGATTACTTGGTCTAAATCATTTGAGAAGCAGCAACATTAATTCTTCACACCATGTTCTTTGAAGTTTGAATGGAGCATTTAGAAATGTTAGATTAAGATAATTGAATAGAATATTATATGAATTGCAAATCTGTACTTACTTAGTACAACTCCAAGTTTTATTCTCTGTTTCAGGGAAGCTACGACATTTCAAAAGGCTTGGAAAAGTGAAGATATAACTGCAGCTGAGGAAGTCAGAGCCCTACCTGATTTTGTTGGTAAAATTTATTTTCCTTAATGTCAGATACTTAATTTGCATTTTTAGGAGCCACTATACATATAGTGATTTGAGCTGAATAAGGTAAAAAATCAAGCTCAGAAATGACCTGACATCTTTTCAATTATTTGTATGTAATTTTGAAGACAAAGAGTCTACTCACGGAAGAAAAAAAATAAGTGAAATTATCAATCAACCACAATTATTGTTTAGAAGGTAAATTGTAGTTATGATATAAGCAGATTTATTTCTTGGAAATTGCAGTTTTCTGCATTATAGCTGAACTTGGTTCATAGCTTCCATGCTTTTATCTTTCTGAAACCCACAAATCAATAAAGTCAAAGGAAACTTAGGAATATGCTATATTACTTTTAACCTAGATTTGCATAGATTTCCCTTCCTATGAAGAGCTTTCAGACATGGTAATTGCTGCACAAACTAGAGGTCAAAGTGTTGATTTAGTGATTTATTGTGTATGCACACAGTATGTGTTTTTTGCAGCAACAGCTTTCAACTTCATCTTCATAATTTCTTTCTTGACAGTTCCCGAGGAAACCAGGAGCAATATCACGGAACTCCTGTCAGAACGCAGGCAAGGCCGTCATGATGAAGCAGTAACCTTAATGTATCATGAGCTTGCTTGCATTGCCAGGGTAAGACAAGATTTTGCAATCCAGACTGTCTAGAATACTATACTAAAGTCCAGGGTTAACGTTCAAAAGATGAGACTGACTTCCATCCTTTTTTAGGAAATAGAACCCTTGATTTTGGAGCCTGGAAAATTGTTTTTGACAAAACTGATGGAATCTGATAGAAAAATTGAAATTCTGTTTACAAAGACTGATGCTACTGTGGAAGGCTTCCCAATTGAAGTAAGGCAGCTCTTGCCATTATCTTTCTGCTGTCTACTTGGTCAGTGTGATATACCTCCCTATGTCTTGCTGTAGTTTTAAGATAAGAAAGCATTTTTTTTTCATATTTAGTTTTTCAGTGAGATTGAGAGTAAATCCTTCTTGCAGGGTTTGGAAGAACTGTGGACCACCATTCAGCAGGAATCCTTGGCCAGAAAGAAGTGCGTAAGGGAATTGGATGAAACCCTAAAAAAGGTTGAATGGAGTCGAACTGACAAAGTGAGGTGTAGTTTTAATAGCTGTTAAGTAAGCATAAGATTAGTATTTGTTTATAATACTGGACACAGAGCAAAGAGTAGCTTATTTCCACAGGAGTCAAGGATGCCCGCCAGGTTCTGATGTATAGGCGATTACTGCCTTTTTAACAATATGTCATTCTCTCAATATTCTGGAAAAAATAGTTCTTTTCCAGTTACAAAGTGTTTTCTTCTACAAATACCTGCAGTAATGTTGCAAGGAGTGTCTGAGTTGCTTTTGTGCTTTTCCAGGGTTATTTAGGTTGAACTGTGGTCAGGCTTAATGGTCAGGATTCTATTCTGAAGGTGAGCAATAAAAGTAACTGGACATTACAGTGCATCTGGATACATTAATGGCTAGTCCATAAGAAAGTCCTTACTGCTTTGTCCTTGTAGGCAAACAAAAGTTGTCTGCTCTACCTGTGTCAGTTTGTCCTCTCTTGTGACGTGGATAGGTTGAATAGGTCCAAGAGTAGCTGTTGTGTTCGAGTAGTTGTGAAAAATACTGGAGATGATCAGGTTTCATAAATTTCTTGTCTGCTTAAAACAAACATTGGTGAATTCACTACAGATGTCAGAAGGGAAGTTGTTTTATTTGTTTCAAATTCAGTTTGCAGCCTATCTGCAGAGCTCTCAAGAATAAGAGATAATAGAGAGAAATCAGTCAAGTAATAAAACGTATTTTTAAAAATTATTCTTATGAATCAGTGCTAATAAATTAAAATCAGTATGTTAATATTCACTTCTCAAAATATCAGCCAATTGAAGGTATTTTCAGGAAAAAAAATTTCACTGGTATAATTGAAATGTCAGTACCCTAAGGTAAGCAATTACAAACTGTGTGTGTGTTCTTTATTTTTTTATTGTGCAGATAACAGATGTACTAAGGAAGTACACTGTGATGCTGGAGGAAATTTCCTTCTTCTTACCAGCTGATATTTATAGGTTCATAAACAATGAGGCTATGGTAAGTCTTTTTATACCGAGAGTCAGTTTTACCTGTAAGAAGAGAGCAAGCTGAAATATACCTAAGAATCCTTTTATTTCCTCATTTTCAAACTGAAATTCATCATTTCTACCAATCAATTACTGCCTTATAGGAGAATGTTTCTATTTTGCAGGGTATTCTTTGTCATTTGTATTTTTTTCCTTAGTCTGACATAGAGCTAGCAATTTTTTTCCTGTCACATGCTGCTGTTTATATATATATTTTAATACACAGCTGATTAACAGAGCACTGTTGGCTAACCAGAGGGCAATTTCCAAGCTGTTCTTTAATCTAATGAAATCAGAGATGAAAAGGGAATTATCATTTCGACTGAAATGGAAAGACAGAGTCAAGAACTGGAAGCTCACACAAAAGAACTATATAGTTCAGAGTTTCAGGTATGAAATTTTATAACAGATTATATTTTTTAGTATGAACAGCACAAAATGGCTAGTGTTCATTTGTGATTTGTGTTTTCTATAAAAAGTAGTATGTTGCTATTTTTATCTTATAAAAAACAAATAAAAATAATTTAGCTTTTTTTTTTTTTTTAATTTTCCAAACGGATATTTATTAACTGTGTTCTTCTTCCACCATACAGAGAATTTGTGGTAAATGAAGAAATACAGAATCCCCCAGAGGTGAAAACAGAAATGGAAACTATGATAAATGGACAGATTTTACTTAATGATAAGAGACTGGAAATTCTGCAGCACCTTGTGTACGACAGAAGAGAGTACAGTAACAAAGAAAAGTAGAGTTCTTGGTAGAGTTAATAAGAGAGCTCCACTACAGAATTAACTTTGCTCCATTTCAGTGCACAATTGTACAACACAGCAGTAAGGCAGGGCTTAAACGTCTTCTGTAAAGCTCTTTTTAATGGAAAAAAAATGTATTTTTGGTTTCCAAAGCACCTATTAAAATAATACAGGGCTATCAAAGGCTTGAAATGCAGAAACACAAGTAAACCTTACTGACACTTGAAACATAGTAGAAAGTGGCAAAGAAGAATGGGCGGATACGTAAAAATTGGTGGTATTGTCACAGCATTTCTCAATGAGAGTTTAACTTGGATAATCATGAAGAAAGGCGCATTGAAAGAAAGCTCATACTGCTAGTTTTCAATTCTATCTATTTTGACAAAAATATTACAATATTGCATTATGGTATTACAATTTTCAAACATTTTTTCTGTTATAATGTATATAGCAACTAGGTACATCCAGTTCATTGTCAGTAAACAGTGGTCTTGGAAAACAGCAGCCAGCTTGTTTTATTTTCATTGCTGATATGGCTGCAAATGAGATAAAACAGAGTAGTCTGGTTACTCTAATTCGTAGTTTTAACTGACTGGATTATATTTGAAAGTATCTGATTCTTGTTTCCTATTTCAATAGTGATTTGTTGCCTCCAGCGTGTACGCAAGATGAAGTTAATGAATGGTACAAATCTTTGGAGAATTTAAACCAAAGTATGGGTAAGTTGGGAAATCACATGTCACGAAAATGTCTGGAATTCAAGCAGTTCCTTCTTTTTTCCTAACAGGAATGAGTCAGACTGGTGGTTTGAAAGTATCTTTGGAATATTCTTTGTTCCCTGTTTTCCCATGTACCTAAATTGCTATGAGCTAGCAATATGGCTCCAGTAAGATTTCTGTTGCATTGCCTCCCTTCTGCCACCACAAGCATGTTTGCTTAGCAAGGTTTTGCAGGAATTGACTTGGTTAGAATCAATCTGTAGAAAAAAATGAGGTTATTTTAGTCCAGATCAGTACTCAGTCATAGAAAAATACTTATCTCTTGTAGAATAAAAGGTGAAGTATATGAGATTATTCCTTTGTCTTGTAGTATGCCTTCCCTCTGTGTCTACCTTCTGCTTCACCAGAGCATGTGCCCTCTTAATGTTTGTAGCCTGTATTGTAGCAAAGATGTTGGTAGTGGCTATAAATAACTCACTGCTTTTAAGCATAATGATAAAAATATTTGTGTAAAAATGTCTCATTTTACTGACTGATAATATCATACAGGTCTGAAGACACTACTGGAGCACACTGGCTGTGCTGAGGCTCAGCACTGGTCCTCCTTCATGTTTCCATTTCACACTGCATTGAGAAATAATGACATTTTTTACAGTGGTTTCTTTTCCATATCCTTCAGATGCCCACAATAGGCAGTGTATGATGAAAATTCGTACCCAGCATGAGACAGTCCAGCAAAAATGTTTGGCAGAAGTGCAGCTATACAAGGTCAGTATCATAGCTTTGTGAATTCTTGGAAAGATTCTTGGTAAAAGTATACAATGTGTTGTTGCAATACTATGGGCTTGAGGATCCAGCAAATGTTAAATTAGTTCTACCCTCTAGAAAACCTACTGTCCATTTTGTTTCACAGTACCTTGTGGTATTTGTACTAGAAATGTGTAAAAGCAATAACAACTGCCAGTAATGAAAGAAGTCCTTCATTTAGAGGACTCAGGGTCAGAACCCTCACCCTTTTCCTGAATCTGTCTTATCTTGGAAGAAATTTCTCATCTCTGCTCAGTTTATCTTTGTCCAAATAAAATTGTACTGCTTACTACCAGAATATGATACGAGGGTTGAATCCTTTCTGTGAAATATTGTGAGAAACCTGGTTAATGAAGCTACATGAAGTACAAACAATTTTAGTATGCATTCATTTTCTAAAGCTGATGTACTGTTAATAAAGTACAATATGGGACCATCAACCTGCTAACATAAGATGAATGTAGCAACTCCTCAGATTACACGTGAATAGTATAGGTTCAACTTAAAGTAACATTTTTGGATGCTATTTCTGGAGCTATCTATTCACAAGAAATTAAGAAATACTAAGTTTAACCATACTCTCTAAAAGCCACACAATATTTTATGTTAGATTATATGCATGTCAATAGCTTAACCTTCTTTTCGTTCAGAATAAACTGTTGAATCTGAATGTTTGCACACAAAAGGAGGCTGAAGAAATCGTGAATTCTGACTTCCTTCAGTGGACTGAGAAACTACAAAGTCAGTTTGAAGAAGAACTGAAGAATATGGATGTATGTTTATTACATCTACTTTTATTGTTCTTTTGGAATATTCTGTTCTTCATGTGCTACTGCCTAAAATTCTATGTGCATCTTAGGCTATTGATGTCATACTAGACAGAGGTCCATAGTGTGATTGAATACCTATCCCATATGTAAAACAAGTTTTACATGGTTCAGGAAGGAGAGTCCGTAAGTGCAACTTCCAGCAAACAGTTTAATAGTATCCAGTTCACTTAAATCTGATTTTTTTTTTTATTTTTTTTTTTAAGAGAGACTTTGAGGAGCTGGCTAAACAGAATGAGCAGAACTGTAGAGACCTGTACAGATATTTTCAAGAGGCCAGTAGTCTCTGGGATGTCCATCAACTCGAACTGTCCAAGCAGGAAGGTGAACTTCAGAAGAAACTAGATGAATGCAGACAAAAACAGAATAAATTAATACAGGTATAAACATAAAATAAAAATGTAGTATGACTTAAGGAAAGGATTTCTTAATGCAGAGAAGCCTTTGGAATTCAAAATACCTGGTATAAAAGCATAAGCATTAACATTTATGCTGGATTTTCTACATGTTAGTTTAATTCTGTCCAGTACATTTTTGGATACATGCTTGAAATTAATTATTTGAATCCTAAATAGTTATGAAGCTTTTTAATAATTACTAAATCTTTTTTACTGTGTTCTTTTTATGTGGTCTTAGATGATGGAAAATAATCTGGATATAATTCTGCATAAAATGAGAACAGCGAGCTCTGAAAAAAAGCTGAAGAAATCTTTGGAGAATGCCCTTTCTTCTTTGAATGACATTAGAGCTAGGTATGAATTTTGTAGTGCAAACTTAGTAAGTAAACTGCATTCTAATTTGGTTGTATTTAGGTCATATTCATGCACTAATGTTAAGGAAAACACTTCTCCTTACTTCCTGTAAGGATGTAAAATAAAATAATTTCCATATTGAACAAGGTTAAGACAAACAATACCTACACTTCAGAAGCAGGAGTAAGGAAAACCCAACAAATACTGATACTGTTTTAAAAATATGCTGGATCAGTACTGTTATATAGTTATTCATGCCAATACAATCGTTATTCATTCAGAAGATAGAAGCCGTAGTTCAGATTCTTGAATCATGGGGATCACAAAGTTGATCTGTGCCATCAGCTGTGCTTTGGGCTCACAGATTTGATCTATTTCAGAAGGGTAAGGAATAGAAGTTACTAATAACTCTCAGATAGCCAAAGTCTTTTGGCAATCTTTGTTATGTTTCTTGAATGGTTTCCCATCCAAAATGAAAGTTCTGAAAGACTTTATTGTAAATATTTCTTAATTTTTGCTCACTTATGTATTTATAATGAACTAATCTTTACCAACAAGCCAGGTTGTGATTGTGTTCAGGCTGAACAAATACAGTAGAATAGTTGATTCTAGCCTGAAGGATTGATCATATGAATTAAAAAGTTAAACTTGGATTTAAAGACATAGTAGTCATATTTCATTTTATTTCTATACATGCTAGAGTCTATTAAACAACGACTTTAAATTTGACAGGTATGAGACATTCAACAAAGTTCTGGTGGATAAAGTAACACCATACCCAGAAGCTATTTTGCAGGAATTGATTTCTTACAGTGTATCTATCAGCAAATATTTTAATGTAAAAGAAATCTTCAAACAGGTAAAAAGAAGACAAACTCCTTTTGTTTTAAAATCTTCCAGGTGTATTAATTTTTCACTTTGGGGAAATTTTACATCAGCTTTAAAATTTTTATTACATAAACTGAAACATTGCTTTGGCCATAGGACCAAACTGCTTTTATATCAATGAAATAGATATATTTTGAGAAGGAATCTGAATTCCTTACAAGCAAGCAAATCCTTATTTTTATTTTTTGTTGCTCTTGTTGCTTTTAGAACTTGGAAGGAAAAATAGACTTCGTATTTCAAGGTCAAGGTAATTCCTCGATGATACAAATAACTCTTTTTTTGCTTGTTTTTAATCTGTGCTTCTATGTATTATGACTAGTAAAACTTTGCTTTAACTGGAAATAATTAGTTGAGGTTCTGGAAGCTGAAAGTCTGGTGGAGCAACAAGCTGAGAGTGTTGTGCAAGAAAATGAAGAAAATCAGAAGATGGATAGCTCTCAACAACAAAATGAAGAAACAAACAGAGCTGAGAATGAGGAGATCTTTGCGTGGGAAACTGAAGAAACAGAGAAACAAGAAGATGGGGAGAGAATTTTTCAAGAGAGTGATGAAACTGATGATATAGAACAGGCGGTAAGCTTTTCACAGGTTTGGGAACAAGAACTTTTGAAAGCGATGGAGGTTTTGCACATCATGGCAAGTAGGAAGTTGTCTACTTGCTGAGGGGAAAAAATAGAGTAGGTTTTGTTTTTACACAGAGCACATATTGGTCTTAACTGTTTTCATTTATTTCTGGACCATGAGAATTCTAGATCCTACTAATGGGTCTATAAAACAGTTCACAAACATTCCTTATACACCACTTTTATCCTTTTAAATAAATAAATAAATAAACCACACCTTCAGCAGCTTTAGTTTATGTGTCTATCTTTGTATCTAAGTATTAGTTCTTCAGGTCTCTAGTTACATGAATGCAATTTATTACCATAACAGAAACCTTTCAAAATACTGATGATTCTGCCTATTGAGACTTGCAAAAATATTCTCTGTATGAGTTTGTCCAAATTCGGAAACAACGTTGTTTCTAGTGTCTTTAGGAATCTTACATTAGCTTGAACACTGTGATTTATTTTTACTTTTTTCATTTTATTTTTTTCATTTACTTTAAAATAGTTGTTTCAGAGGTAACAGTTGATGATTCCCAGTTGTTTTTTTAGGATGTGTTCAAGAGCAGCGAGGTGAAAATCTCTGAAATTGCTACTGAGACTTTTTCCACTTCAAGTGGAAACATTTACACAGTTCTTGGAGCTGAAGAGGCAGAAAAGACTGACATCCCAGAGAGTTATTTTACAAAGTATGAGGAAGAAGAATCACTTCCTGTGTACCTGGAACATGTACTTATCAAAGAAAATGTATTTGTAGAGCTGAAGAAACGGTTAGTATAAAACTTGTGTATGTTCTTTCTTTCCCTTTAGGTAGTAAAAAAAATGTCAGTGTTTGGAAGAAATGTTAGACTAAACATGCAAAAATTATTTAAATATTTTGATGCATTCTTTTATTAATTGATTAAAAATAAAAGACACTTTTGACAATGCTCTTTATACGTTGCTCTTAGATGTACTGTACAAGCCTCTTACAGAGCATTCCTATTGTACAGAAATGTATTTAATGAGTAAACGTGGCACAGAAAGGCAGGTAATTTGCCCCAGCTCCCTACAGAGCCATGAAGTTAAAATATCTGGCACTCAGTGGTATGATTCCAGCTCAAAAACTCTTCCATGCTTTTATCCTAGTTCTTTTTTTTTTTTTATCTCAGCCTTCATTAATGTAGAATAGGAACAGAACTTCAAAAAACATTACAAGATTTCTGACTCAGTCATAGTAATATTATTTATAGTTTCTGTTGACAAAATGAGTAGTACCAGTATTGTGCAAATAGTCATGAAACCATACCTTCCTGTAGCTGGAAGTTAAATTCTTAGAGTCAATATATTTAATGCATTTTTGTTTATTATTCGCTGTTCTTCCCTGTAATATATATTATTTAATCATAGGATTCGCCTCTGCTTTTTTGAACACTTGGAGAAATGGTTTGCAGAGTCCTTATCCAATTCCTGGGCTACTGTAGCTGCCAAGGAGGAGGAGCTGAATTCAGAACTTCAGCAGCATCTTCTCTTGCATCAGCAAAGGCAGGAGAATATAGAGACAAATATCTACAATGTTAGAGCTGGTACCTACTTTTTTACTCTGAGCACTACCTGCCTTCATTCAGAGATGATCATAGGTGGACCAAAATCCGTTTCAGTGTTAGGTGTCTCTGTAGTAGATGACTATAGGATGACTGTACTAATTCTCAGTACAATGTTACTCATATTTTTTTAAAAAGATGTTTCTTATCAATAGCTCATGCCTATTTGTGCTATGTTATGGGAATATTCAGCAATACCTTCAGCAATTACCCTAATCAATGAATTGATTGTGGCTGTAGAACATTGTTTACATTGTCAATGCTTGTGACTGCTCATTCATTTCATTTAGCAAGTGTTTGCACTGTACAAAAAAAAAAAGTGTTATAGAAAACAAATGAAATGCTGAGGTTGGGCTTCTGAATACAGGAGAGGAAAGAATTACCTGTGTGAAATATTGCTGAGCAGGCACAAATTGGCCACTGAGAAATCTGTCTTGTATGAGGATCTGGAAGGAGACTTGATTTAAGGCAGGTTTGTTGGTCTTTAGCATATTAACTAAGAAAAATCTTGGCCTTTTTTTTTTTTTTTTTTTTTTTTTGAGGTTGATTGGCTCACTCTTGGTTTACCCAAATGTTTTTCCAAAAGGAAGACCAAAAGTGATTTTTTTTCCCACAAAAATAGCAAGAACAGCAATTTCCATTAAAAACAAACAAACCACGCTTTACCTTTACCTTTACTTTCGTTACAAGACTGAAAATGGAAAGACAAAGGAGATGTCAGCAGTGACCAAAAGTAAAGGAAAAAGAAAAGAGATTAGGGCAAACAAAAGGCATTTGTGATTTGAATTGAATTAATTAGGAGCTGTCAGGGACATAAGTCAAAAACAGGAGAAAAGTCAAAGAAACGGGATCGTGTCTATTTTACTAATGTTTTTAAGCTGCTCTGAGATCTAGTTCATTTTATTTTACTGCTGCTTCTGATAATAGTGGTTGTGGTACTCCATAGTAAACAGGGAATAATGACCATACTGTAAAATTTCTTTCCTTATCAGCGGAGCTATTACTTCATGAAAAGCGTCTCGAGTGCCACTGTGCAGGTGTGGTGGAAGCTCTGAACAAGGAGAGAGCTGAATTCCTCAAATTTTGCGATCAGCAAAATGACATCATCAAAAACTTAAATTCTCAGATCCATGACATAGAATCAGTCTTCCTCACTGCTCCTATGACTGAGAAGTAAGTGTGCCTCAGGTCATACTGGCTGTGAAATTCCAGACTTAAACACTCCTGATTGCTTTCTGGGATGTTCCCAGTTCCTGGCTTGTGTTCTAAGTCTCTTTTATCTGTGTGATTATTACTCTTCAGTGAAGAATGCCTCATGAAACTTCTAAAAATGAAAATAATTTGTTTTCTTTCTACTAAACTAAAATTGCTGCTGAATATATGACAATTTTCAAATATTTTCAAGGTGATGGTGGTCTTAAAGTAGAAAACCGTTTCATCTATTTAGATTTTATCAGTTTTATTGAACTTGTACAGTAATAGTAATTGACTAATTGCTTTTGAAGGGTAGTCTTCAACTGCTTGCTGTTGTTGTCTGCATGTTCATCAAAACATTCAGTGTTCAGTGAGTCATTTGCAGAATATTAAAACATTCCCTAGTTCTCAGATTTGATTGATGTCTTTTAACCAGCAGCCTCTGAACCATAACATGCACTCCTCTTTCAATGCATTTTCCCTGTGTTTTATTATTTGCTGCTAGGTTGGTTTCTTTCAGCAACAGTCTGCACTCAGAGCTCCTTAATAATCTGGAAGTCATCCAGGTTTCCCTGAGGAGTTATCGGAACTATTTGGAGGAAGCTGTAGGAAAATTAAGAGATTCAAATGTGGATTTTCTCAAAGCTTGCAGGTATAAAGATTTCACTGGAGGAATGCTTATAAATAGTCATCTATTTCTGGGTATTAGCATTTGTTATATAGTCAGAACAGTAAAATGAATGTTTTTGTTACTCATCTGTTTTGCTATATGTTTGTATAAAAAAAATTAAGCCACAATGATTAGACTGTTTTCATCACATTTGTTTTGATATCTATGTACTGCTTATCCAAAATACTCTTTAAGTAAAGGAAGACTCAGTCAATTTTTTTGATTTTGCTGGTTGCTTTCAGATTATTTAGTGAAGGAGGCAATTTTTCTTCTGAAGAGGTACAGTCTTTCAGCAAGCATCTTCAGAAAGAAAGTGAACGTATTAACTCATTCGAAAAGTTAATCATGGCTGATATGGAGAAAATGGAATCGAGCTGTTTGGAGCAGGTGTGTGCAGAGCTTCACTCTTTCAAGTTATGTATTATATTGGCATATTTAATGTGATTTATAATCAGCCTGCTCCCAGACTGGAACTATAAATACTGTTCTAGTTAATTCTGTGACAACTACATGATGGAAAAAATAAGTAGAAATGGTAAGTTCTATTACTTAAGTTGAAAAAAGTGAAAACAAATTATCATGTCTCTTGTTTCTGACATTTTTAAAGGCTACTGAACTTATCAACCAGGCTGAAACGAAGTTCCGTTATCTCTTTATGAATCGAGTCTTTATGGAGAAGATCCGGCAGCTTCTGACAAATTTGCAGCTGCAAATCAAATCAGAGGTACAAACTGAAACATCACAGCTTCGTTTATATTAATTTTAATTGTTCATCTTTTATTACATTTAAGAGATTTTTGGCTGAGTTCAGAGTGGACTTATGTAACTTTTTGTGTCAATTCAAATCCATTTTCTGGCTTTCTCATCCTAAACCATGGCTTTACTACAGCTGCAGCTATACTAGCACTTTTTCGTCTTGCAGCACATTGAGCATGTATATTTGAATAGACGGGCATTTTTGCATGGTGCAGTAAAGGACATGAAGTGTTGTTTTTGTGAATTATTGTTTTCAGCTCCTCCTCTGGGTACTAGTAACTGAGTGTTTTTACTAACAAGTCTAGTGGTTTCAAAGTGGAGTCTCTGAAATTCCCCAAAATGGGATTTTACTTCACCAACATATGTTTCTGGTTTTAGGTAGCAAATTCCAATTTACAGGCAGTGACATTAAAATCCTACCTGGAGAAACTCCATCAGAAGATAGATACTTGTGCTCACTCTACTGCAGATAAAGAAGTAAGTTCTAAACAGCATGAGATTGTATTAATTTGATTCACCATGCATTTTTATATATGGCAGTCTTTATATATCACACTTTAAATAAGCAACTATATTTTTGAGGCAGACTTATGTCTATACACATCGTGGGGCCTGGGAGGAGAAGAGTACATTGCCATAGATTTTTTGCTACGGGAGGTCTTCTACTTACTTTCCTGCTTGCAAAACAAAAGCCTCAGTTTCTATACACTCTCATTGCTTCCATATATGCATAAACAAATTGGTGACAGAACAGATTCAAATGAACTTGTATGCAACTGTGTCAGCATGTCTCAAATCTCGGATTTAGTAAATACCGCCTGTATTAACATATCTTTCAGGCTTTGACTTCTGAAGAGTTGTACAACTTTACCAAAGTACTGTTGAAGGAACTGAAAAAGAGGAGCCAGTATCTCGATTGCCTGCTAGTCGATACAAGAAGGCTGTATGATAATGTAGGATAGTATTTTAAGTTCTTACATTTTATTTAATTTTGAGTTAATTTTTGATTTTTAATCTGTATACGTTTTAAAGGCTTTTCAGAATCTGTGTATTGAATTTTCAAATGAAGAAAAGTGTATGAAGACAGAGTAACTTTAGGTCAGCTCTTCTACAGAACTGATTAGATTGGTCATCACTGAGATTACTAAATGTCAAAGCAGCATCACAAAGAGTTGGTCAGTCCTTTGCAAGCATTTATTTTCAAGGCATAGCACTGTTCATAGCTACATGTTTCACGGGTCCGAAAGAAAAAATCCAAATTTGTCCTAAAATTTTTGATGGAATAGCGTATTTCTGTATCAAATGTTTTTGCATCTAAATGTCACAGAGTTGTGTAGCTGTAACAACATTTCTCCTAAAATGATTTGGCCGGTTGAGCAAAATAGTGTCTGTTTGCTCGATCTGCTTTTGTAACCAGCAACTACACGTACTGCTACTACTACTTGCCTGCTACAATCAACAGGCTTTCATTTTCTGCCCATTTCAGGAGCACTTGATACCTCCTGCAGCAGAGGTTACGTTACAAGGTCCAATTGCTCTTGCCCTTCGAACGGAGTGTCTCAGAGATGAGAAAATATTGACGATGATGGGGCTGGATCCTGTCAAGTTTCCTCTGTTAAATCCAAGCAGAATGGGAAAGTCTGCAGTTGATGATTTAGCAGTAAGCGTTATCCAAAATTTACTGGAGTGAGTATTTGTTTGCTTAAATATATTTTCCATAATTCCAGTTAACCAATTAAGTACCTTCATGGGGTAACTACATTTGCACTGTTGGTTGTAAATGTAATCCTAGCAGTTGAATATTATGTCTGAAATTTAGCTGCACTTAGCACCTGGTAGGAGTAGAGAACTTGTAGCAGGGTATTCAAAAGCAACATAGCTCTTCATTTAGTTTCAGAATTAAGTCATCCTGGAGAAAATCTTCAGACCGAAATCCGGACAGAAATGTTTTCTCACATTCATTAGGACCAGGTATGCTAGCAGTTCCTTTAATTTATTTACATTCATCTAAACTGTATTTTCTAACATGTTATTGAGCAGGTCCAGCTTGTTCCAGGCCACTGGTTTATGTGCTAGCTGTGGGAGGATTGTGCATCCTTTTGTGTTGGCTGTTTTTACTTTGCAATAAGATGATGATTTTTGGATCTTAACCAGTGAAAGCTTCAGAATGAGATAGTATTGTGGTTTTGTTTTTAATGAAGTAGAAAAGTACCCATATTTGTTACAGCAAAAGTAAAAAGGCATAAAGAAAATAATAAGACGTCATGAAAATATGTAGGGGATCAGGAGTCCTTTCTGCTGTATATTATCATTGACTCAAAGGTGGGTGCAGTGGTTATCCAAATTGCTCCTGTCCTAATGTTCATGTTGCCTTGTCTTTCTTCTCCAGAGCTTGATTTCACCAACTACTTCCAAAAATAGCTTCCCTTCTGCATTCCAAAGTTGCCCTCACACCAAGACTATGGATGTAGCCCATTAATTTTCCTTCTTATTCCTTGAATTAATCTTGTTTTAAGTCCCATCCTACCTATCTTATATTTTATATCACAGTCATATTGCTCATGCCTCAAAGGACAGTCTTTATCACTATCACAGCTGCTAGACTACTTCAGTTTTATCTGTAAGAAATGATTGTTCCTACAGTTGTCCTCTTAATGTTGTGAGGAAGAATTTTAAATGAGAATGTAATTTGCATAACTGTATAAGAAAGACTTCAGTTGTCATTTATACAATGTTCTTCATCTTTTCTTATTAAATATAAAGCAATTCTTCCCACACCGAAGAATTCTCACTTAAATGTATCTGATGGAGGTCCTCAGAACTCTGCTACTTACAGGTGTGCAGCTCGTGTCCCCAAGAAGTCATCTATTAGCAAAAAGATGCCAAGAGGAAGGTAAGATGTGAAAAGAAATCCCACTTAAAATTACTCCTGTGCAGAAATTTACCTAAACTTTGTACGCTGCCTGTTCTTTGAGAAATCCTTAATGCTTATTTGTATTAGCCTTCTTTCCACCTGTGATTAGCATTTGGAATCTCTTCCCTGCTTATGTCCTCGTGATCAGCTCTGCATTTTATTTGAGACTTTGGATGGAAAAACGTTTTTCTCCTTGTTCACTGGCTGTTGATTTGTATTGCGACTTTGTTAGAATATAGACTTTTAAATGAATATGTCTTAATTTGGGGGTCCAGTGTCTGAATAGTATATCTTCAGCTTGGTCCAGATTGGTGAAGTGAGCCAATGTATTAGTGAAAACAACAGAAATCTTTTGAAAAACCACTGAGGAGAGAATGTTTTTCTTTCATCATAAAATATTTTCATGTAATACTAGTTCTGGAGTTACATTTTCTCAAACTTTTCTTCTATTTTATATCCATCACACAACTGGCTCAAAAAATTGAACAGAGAAGCAAAGGACATGTGGATAGTTTCAAATTATTTTTTTGCCTTCTTAGCATACAGAAACACACTAGACCAGTTCTCAATGATAAGAGATACCAAATATTTGGAGAGAAGCCTCCTGAATCTGAGTAAGTCAAGTATATCTACAGTAAGAAATTCATCACTTGTGCTGGGGAGAGGGGGGAACTAACCAACCCTACCTATCTCTGCCCTTGACAGGGAAGGGGATGGAACTAGAGGATCTTTAAGGTTCCTTCCAACCCAAATCATGCTATGATTCAGAGTATTTGTTTGCATATGCCCCAAGAAATGTTTTAAAATGCACCTGAACAAAAGATTTGAAAAACAGTAAATATCACCATACAGTATGATTGTCTTTTTTATTATTACTTTTTTTTATTTTCAGTACTTTTAAGGGGATTATTATGAATATTCTCTGGACAGGTAATAACAACTTACTTTGTCTTGCTGAGGTAAGAAAAAAAACTTTGTTCTTCAGTTACTTTTGCTGTTGTATATCTTCTGTGTCTGCTAAATAACTTATATTTTGATGTTTGCATGGCTGTCCAAAAACTTTACTTTCTTCACCAGTGCATTTAATTTTGAAATAGTGTTTGACACACAGTATTTTTAATTTAAGGGTTCTTTATAAATATCAACTAAGCATTCCAGAATCTGAGGCAGTGTAATACATGGGGACAAGCACAAACATCCATAGCTAGTTGTATAGCAGAACAACTGCAAAGGCGAGGCAATTTCAACATTATTCATTCTAACAGCATCAAAAGAAAATATCAGACAGAAGCAGCATGAAGTTGTGACACATACCCACCTTTCAAAAGATTTTCCAAATTGTCATAAGTATACTGAAGCGTCAGTAAAAGTATCTGTAATCAAAACATTCCTTATTAGGACTTGCTACACTATAATGCCATCCTAATAACTAATATTTGAATACATATACCCAAGTTAAGAGCAGTACAGCAGTGAGAGGACTGATAATATCTTTTCAGAATTGGCAATTAAGCTGCACTGTAGTCTCAAAAACCCTACCCATTCAAAGAGCAGGTAGGCAATGAATTAAAGCTCCTGATACAGTGCAGGCAGAGGAAGACAACTGGTCTTGAGAAGGTGGTTGACAGCCTTATATATCCCTGCTACTGTTATATGTGTAGGTGTGACTTGTTTGAATGTGTTATCAACCCTTTTCCTGTTTTATCTTTACCTCCTGAAAGGAGTTCTACCAAAAAGAGAAGCGTCAAATGCCAATGCCTGAAGATATCCCAGAGACATTTGAACACTGTGTGGAAATGTTCAGACAGAATCTATTGTCATACCAAAGTCAGACAGACGATTACTACAACTCCTGTCTTAAAGGTAAATTAATTCAGTTAAGACTTAATTTCACTGAAAATTGCAATGAATCAAGAATTATGTAGCCCAGTGGAAAAACTCCTGTTAAATACCAGTAAAATACTGGAAATTGGGCCAATAACCTCTTTAATATATTACTGGTTACAAGGAGCATGTCAAAAGAGTCCTGGAGTAAGTTGAAAGATCTGTATAGGTTAACATCTTTTGGCAAGTGTGTTTCTGTAATCATGGGATGTAGAAAAAGAGCTATTAGGGACAGAAAGAGAAAATTCCAACTTGTTTGATCCTGGCAGTGTACATTCGACTTGGCTGGGTTTTCTTTCCTTACAATGACTGCTTCTGTGTTACATAAACATCCCTACCTTTTCCAAAAAGAATTTCAGGATCAGTTGAAATTGTTTGAAGAGGAACTCCCTTATGTCTCTCAGTTGGCGGTTGATAGTCTTTTAAAAGAACATGAGCAGAAGTTCAGCAATTCTACTGGTAACATTCGGCACCTCTTCAATAAACAGCTAGAAGACTGGGAGAGCATGAAGGTACATATCCTGGACATACTGGAAAGCTTCCAGTGTAAACAATGCTAAACTCATCAGAATTATAAAATTTCATTTTATTACTCTCACTGTTTGCTTAATCACTCACTGCTGACCTCATCACTGATTTTATTTCTGTGTTTGCAGTTAGTCTGCAGTTGTACTGTAAACTTTGTATTTCTAGTAACTCAGTCCTTTCTCTCACTGCTTCCAACATTAGGTTTCCTCTCTATAGTCTTTTACTATTCTGTGATTTTACTCTTAGGTCTTAATTTTTTTAAGAGCTAGTAAAGTTGTGGTATGGCTATACAGTTCATACAGTATAGGCACTGATGCCTGTCTCATTTGTAGGTACTACTGCATATGCATATGACAATTAAGTATCATTATTGTATTTTTTAAAAAGGTACATTTTGTTCAGTAATATCAACTCTGGTAACAGAATCATAATGGAGAGCACACAGAAGACATTACAAAGTAGTATATTCAGATTTTGTCCCTCTGAGTATTAAGTTAAATTCAGAAAAAAAAAATACAGATATCAAGTTATAAAAATTTTATGTTCACCTCTTGGTAAAGGGATTACTAATTGTGATAACTTGAAAATGATAAACAAGGTGAGCTCAGGCCCTGTTCTTCAATGGACAGACAATTTGGTATATACTGTACTGCAAGGTTTATTTAGTCAGCCTAGGAATAAACCAAATTTTCTTTCTTTCTGAATGTTGTGACATAAAATGCTTGATTTTACTACTTTTTCATTATGACTCAATTGCACGTTCATTATAAAAAGCATTCTTATGTGTTTACTTAAAGGTGGTGCACAAGAATCAGTTATGTCCCTCCCTGGGGCATCCAGACAACTTGCTTCAGCTGGAAGCTTTGTGCCAAGAGGAATCAAAAAGGCAAAAAGACCAAGCTGATGGTATTCATCTCAACACAGAGATGCTTAGGGTAACTATAAAGCCATGGCTTACTATGAGCTTGATAGATGTTGCATTTGGAAAGAACAGATTTTGGATAGTTTTTTTCCTCTGCATCAAAAGTAAACTGAAAAATGTTTTCAGTTTTAGTGTTCACACAGTATCTTTAAGTTATGTGTCAGTAGCACATATATATTGAACACAGTTTAATGAATGCATAAATGCACATGTGCATGTACAAGCACGTAGATTTGTTAGGGATCTAACTGATCTTTTGTATCACTCATAGAACATACTGAGAAAGTGATGACTTTTCTTTTACTGGTAGAGTTGTTGGATATAAGTCTACATTTAGAGTAACAGTGACATCCTCTGGTTAGTTATTTTACTTGCAGAAGACAGATGCCTGGAAGGTGTTTTTACTGTGTGCGTTTCATTAGCACAAGTAATTGGCATTTTTCCATATAAGATTAAGAACTTGAATAAACAGAACTTCACAGGAGACACTCAAGAATCAAAACACTCCTGCTCCACACACGTTTCCTGCTCCATCATCTAGCGTTATTAAAAGTCAATTTTCCATCAGTAAAGCTCTTTTATTTCTCTCAGGCCACTTACTGAAAATTCTATACTGTCTGTAGACTCACTATATTTTTTAATTCCTAAATAATATCTCCTCCTCTTAGCTCTGCATACACGCAACATAGAAACACATAAAACCTTTTTCAGAATAGTATCTGATGAAAGCACTCCAGCTCACAGTACCTGAATTCCAAAACAGCCTTTGCTCAGGCAGAAGGATGTGATTACAGATTGCTGTTTCTATCAGGTTTAAATGCTCAACCCAAATATACAATTACAGGGCAGCTATACCTAGAACTCTGTAACTTTTTATACATTATCTTAGGTAATCAAGTACTGTTGAGAGCACTACAGAAAAATACTTTTTTAGATCCTTTTACGTACGATTTAGAGCCTTATGTCTGTGATCTGCAGCTGTTGAAAAACATCACGGTTGGAGAGTTGTGTAGTTCTTTTGGAGCTAAACTAAAAGGAGAGGAGATCAAATTATCAAAGGAATTCCTCTCACTTGTATCCAATGTCCCAACAGGGCTGTGCTATTGAGTGTGCTCAGAACTTTGTTTCTGCACTAGCTGCCTTCACAGAAAAGCTGCTTCTGGAATTGGATGAAAGTATCACGATTGATGACATACAAGTACCGAGTAAGTAAAGATGAAATTGTGTGTTGGAAGTACTACTCCGTTCTCAAAGACTGCAGCAGACTTTTCCTAGAAAGGGGAGACGTTTGTATTCTATAGTTCAATGGAAAAATTTGCACGAATGCAAATGCAAAGCTATTTCTTGAAAGTAAAGAGCATCTAACTGCATATAATTACTTCAAAACAATATTATGACTGCCAGTGTTTTGTTGCCACTGAGTGTATCATATATTATCTCTCAGATAGTGAAATACCAAGGGAAAAGACATCTGTGTTAATCCGTTGTAAAGAAGCTGGACTTCCTCTAGAAATCTGCAAAGTTGAACAGTTAATTGAACGTGGGAGCAGGTAATATTTGAAGATGCTGAACACTGTTGTATTCAATTTTTCTTCCCTGAACTGACATCAGACACTGTCCTTGTAGGTCTTTTGCTCCACTTGTTAAAACTGCTGAATAATATGCTTGTCATTAGTGAGGTCATTTAGCCAGTAATGGGGCAGGTTGGATGGGTAATGATTTTAAAGAAAGAATAGCAATCGATCCAGATTAATGTGAATTATGTATTATATTGTAAAGCAATATCATTTAAATTTTATTGCTGTGTCACTTTGCTTACCACTATTTACCACTTGACCATTTTCAAACTTGTGGAATATACTGTTATACTGTGTATTTTCACTCAGGAGTCTTGGATTCTGTTTACTGTGCAGAGCGTTGGAGGTTTTAAAGAAAAAGTTGTACTAAATAGGGTAGTTTCTAGTGAAGAGTTAAAAAAAAAAAAAAAAGATCTCTTACATTTAAAATATGCTGTATGAACTAATATGATCTTCTCTCTTCTATTCTAACGTTCTCTATCATGGCTTTTTATTTTGGTTTGATCTGTTTTGTTTTTTTTTTTTAAGGACTTGGCCAGGAATACCCATGACCACTCTTACAGACAATTCAGACTATATTATCTGCAAAGAAACTGCATCAGTTACAACAGCAAAGACTACGCTGGGCCACGTAGCAGCAGTAGAAGCAAGAGATGCTGTATATAAGGTTGGTCTGTGGGAAAGGACTGTTATGGAGTGTAGGGTAGAGGGGAGGCTGTTATTGTTACGGGTTTGTTTGTTTTAAGATTAAAATTATAACTAGGTATGTTTTTAATACACACAGCGATTTCAGACATTAAAGCCATATTCAACAGGCGTAGAAATCCACTCTGTTGTCCATTTCTTTGTGATGCCAAAAAGCAGACAGTTGTTTTTTCAGGGAACCCTCTTGTTCAGATACATTACAATGAGGAATTGTTTTATCAGAGAAGCATGGATGGTGTCAAAAATTAAATGCATTTCAGCATCACAATTCAAAAAGTAGTTAGGATCACCATATCTACACAATGCCATTTCAATACAGCTGAGACTCTGACTTGCACTGGCCATAGCTTGTGAAACAGTAGTGTTCAGCAATTAGGGGAGTATTCTTATGGTAAATCATGTTGGAATAAATTACTGGTGTTTACACATCTGTCCTGGAATTAATCTTATTCCTAGTGAACAGAATTCACTTTTAAAACACATATTTTTAATAGGAAAGCATAAAATACACAGTCAATAGGCAAACACCATTTGCATGAGTGTTTTATGTATATAGTTATGGGTTACAGTACACTTCTGAAGTGAAGGTAGAGTACTGATTGTGTGCATCTAGTAAATACATGCCACAGTAATGTTTTCCTGAATGTGTAGTGCAGACTCGGTAATAAAGATATTTTGAGTTTTTTACGGTAGTTCACAAGCTTTTGTTTAGGTATAGTACATTTTTATCAGCTTTGTAATAATTCAGTTCATAATGATGACTTAGAAAGTCCTAGGAAGAGTCAGAGTATGTTCTTTTTGAGGTGCACACCTCTTCCTCTCTCTTCTCTAGAGAAGGTAGCTCTTTAATCCCAGGAACTAATGGAAGGAAGATGAAGATCTTCCATTTTTATAAAAATTTAAATATTGTAGATAATGGAATTTCAGAAGTATTTAAAATGAACACAGCATAAGGCAATGAATAATTCATTGTTCATATATTTCTATTGTTTAAGGCAGAAAATAAGTGTCCTGCATGCAATCATCTGATATTGAATAGGACTTGAAATTAGGCAAAGTAAAATTATGTCTTATTGCTACTAATTTTGTCCTTTGTTGTTGTTATTTCTACAGAAATACATGTATAACTTTGAGCAGCAGTTTGCCCAGATCAAGAAAGAAAGTACATCTCAGCTGGTGACAGTTCATCACTGGGAAAATTGGTGGAAACAGTCCATCCAGAAGATTAAGCAATTCTATATGTGATCAGTCAAATCTTGTTAATGTTCTTATTTGACAAATAAATGTACTCTTTAACAGAGAGAAAGTTATCATACTGTATCTTTACTGGAGTAACTGAGGAATGTAAGTTGCTTTCTGAATGTTGAATTACATTATTACCCTTATTCAAGCTCTCCCTGTTCTCTTTCCAACTTGCTTTTTGTTTACTTGTTTTCTGTCACTGAAAAACCCTGCTCTAAGCAGATCAGAGTGTATGTACTTACAGCTGCTTTTTACTGCAGTCCTGCAGCAGTGTTTCTGGCATTGTACACTTATGTTTAAATTCATTGTTGGTGTGAACAGATAAGGTTGTTCTAACATCAGTGATGTTACAGATGTGGTTCAACGGAATTTTGTATTTTTGTTATTTCCGTTGTGCTGAGCAACTGCAGTGGTGAAAGGATCTTTTTTTTTTTTTGTCTTCCTGAAATAAAAACTGACGAATGTGCTGTAAATGAAACCTAGACTCTGTACAGTTGGATCTCAGTCGGAGCGAGGTTAACTCATTGTGGTGCTAGCTGAAATGTGAGAACCTGAACAGCTAGAAGCCCAGCAGTGCGTTTGGACTGACGTTCACGTTCAAGGCTCAGGCAAGGTTGATTGGGTCTGTCATGGCACAGCCTGAGGTTATAATTGTTGAAGGCAGCCTGTGTACAGGTGGAATCCAGCAAGGAAACTTTCTTCAGCACAGGAGATGGCCTTTCTGCGGATGTCTTTTCTCCACGTTCTGAATGACACAGTTTTTCACATTCTGTCCTCAGAGCTCCTTACTTCATTTCTAGAAATCTGAAGTACAGGTTTAGAAACTTGAGTTGATCTGCAAGGAAAATTTTCCATGGAACAGTCTACAAATGAGGTATTTATCTGCAATCTTCAGTGCTTTCTGTAGCAGGGCTTGAAAATAATGTACTGCTTTGTTCTGGGAGGTCAAGCAAGTTCATTTATGCATAATATGGTAACTTTCAACTGTATTTCTTCTAAAAACTCTTTGAACAACTTTGAGAAACCTGAGTAACTATTTAAAAAACGTTTAGCAATTTTTCCTGTTAGGAAATCCTGTTATTAACTGCAACCCTGTGTATTTCATTTTTGTTTCTGTTCATTATGAATCCTAGAACTGTAGATCAGTTTAGGATAATATGTCACAGATGGTTTTAGATGCAAGGAAGTCTTCTGAACACATCTGGCTCCGGTGTTCCTGAAGATTTGCAGCAGAGAAAATGAAGCAAAAGGAGAATGCATCAGCTCCTAATGATGCAATATTTCAAAGTGTATGTACTGCATTTCCTCAGCAAAAGGCATATGGACATACACAAAACCTTTTTAAAATATCTGAAATCACATGAAAATAATCAGAATGCACTTTGAATGCACTTTTTTTTTTTTTATTCTGTGTTAATCGGTTTGAGGATAATTTCTGTTTTCCTTTCTTCTGTCTGTCCTTCGCCATTACCCCAGTTCCCTGCTCTCAGCCTGTACACAATGAGTGCGGGAGGATGCTCAGCCTCTTGGGTATTCTTATTTCCTGCACCTATCTGCAAAGTGGTTCTGGTTTACATTTTCATTTATGCTTTGGAAGAAAACTTGAGAAGATGTTTATGGAATTTGTTAAGTGGTATCCAGCTGGGAGGGGCTGCAAGCACCATGGAAAGAAGAATTAATTCATGGCTTGATGCTTTAGAAAAACAAATGGACTACATGGAATTATGCTCCATTTTCAGGCTATTACAAGGCTTTATATGTCATAAACCTGGCTAGGAGAGGTTCCACAGAAAAGATATGTGGATTGCATTTGGATACGGGCTGAACATCACCACCAGTGCTGTGCTCTGGCAAAGGAGGCAAGTGTAGAGGGATGGATGAACTGTCACAGTATTTCAGTTAAGGGGGGTACTCCTGCTTTACTCAGTGCTGGTGAGGCCTCTGCAGGAATCCTCTCACATTTTATGAGAACATACTGATTCAAGGGAGAAAAGAGGGAAAGAAACATCAGTCTTCAGCTAAGTAAAAGAAGTCCCCAGGTGCATGATCATTGTCATTAAAAAAAAAAAAGACCCAAAATGCAGCAAGGGAGATCCTGAATAGGAAGATGCTAAGAAGCCTGATGGGAAGCGCAGTAAAGTGCTGGCATAGACTGCATATCCATCCTGTGTCCTGCCAGCTCTTAATGTCAAATTGAAAACCAGCTGTTTGAACTCTGCTCTGCAGACTTGTGAGCAAGAAAGCAATTAAACTGAGCTTTTAAGGTTAGACAGCTGAGCTGGGGGAAGTTGATTTTTATAGCTGCTGAAAACAGATGAGTAATTTATTTATTTATTTATTTTTTTTAGTAAGTAAATATCATTACCTAATATGTGTTATTGTCACCTAAAGTTCTTTTGCTGGTTATCAGACCTCAGTTTACCTTCCTCCTACGCACAGCTTCCGTAGGACCTGTCTCTGGTGGTGAAAGATGGAGTTTATCAACTAAAACGACAGCTGTATTATCTGCATATCACCTGATACGATTCAGTCAGGTGAATTTAAATTGCAAAGGTGTGTGAGTTAGATGAATACATAGACATCATGTACTCGTAACATCCATACAGAAAACAGAATCAGATCAGAAAGGTTCCCACTCCAGTTACAACTGTGATCGTTTCTCGCTGAAATTAGAGACTTCCCAAGCATTTTACATCATCCACCTCAGTGACTAAGCAGCATGGCTCTGGCTGTCAAGCTCATTTCAGCTATCTGATTTCAGAAAGATTGAATTAATTTGAAGCTGTTTGAAGAACCTTATGCTCCTACAACAACAACAACAACATCAAAAATCAACATTCCTCTCATTTTGAGGTATTTGTAGCTGATTTTCCCTTGTTGTTTTGTTCTTTGCAGGTTGAAAGCTGCTGGAAGTAAGAAGTTGCTTTTCCTTCTACTCTAGAAGAGATGGTTTCCAGGAAAGTAGTGGGATCTCTTGTCTGTCTATCTGTTGTTATCACACTCATCTGGTAAGCATTTGCTAACAAGCTTTAACATGTTTAAATCATGAGCTTCCTGGCTATACCTATACCATAGTAAAAAGCATAACAGCAGAATAACAAATACAGGCTGTGCATTTTAAGGGAAGTGCCTGTTACAGCTTGTAAGAAAGAGCAATCATTAGTATAACAGATAAAGCAACAGTAGTAGGGGGAGAAAGGGAGAGCCTCTGAAGGGAGAGAGGAAAAGACTAATTTTTCCCAAATGAGGCAGCTAACACTGTGTCTGACTAACAACTGTTCAAGTACAGAATATTTCAGTTACTTTTCACTTCAGACCTTAAGATCTGTCTCTTCAAAAGGTCTAAACTCACTCCAGGGTAACTTGGGATAGCTTGTACCTTTCAAACATTGAGGATTTGCAACATGGAGAATATTGACTCCTGAGTATGCTTTGTAAATTCTCCTGAAAAAAAATCAAATTAAATTATTCTTAATGATACTGTATTTCTGATGTTGCAATTTGTTGTTATTTCACATTGTGGGCAGTTGTATTTCATTATTAGCTAAGTGACCATATATAAGAAGCCATAAAGGTTGTGATCAAAACTGAAAGTAGAAAAAAGCCTATGTAACCTATTCATCTGTTATGTAAATTAAGATAGCATTTAACAGTTTCAGAAAGTGTCTATATGTTGCATCAGTGTATATTGCACATTTATGCATTTTGAAATTTGCCTTGTGAATCTCCATTTGCATACAATTTTTGAAAACATATAGCTTTACATTTTGTAGACCACTTGATGTAAATAGTAATATTTAGTCCTGACATTTCAAGCTGGATGCTTCTGGATTCCTTTTAACTTTTTTTTTTAAAGGAGGCAAGCAGTTAACTAGAGTTACTTCTCAAAATCTATGCCAGATTCTGAAAGTATTTTGGAAAATACCAGAAAGATGTATTTCAGTGCTGCCTGTCTTAAAATGTTTTTTTTTTTGCTATCACTTACAGGATTACAGTTGGGAATGGGAAAGTGCACTACCTCCCCTACTACCTTCCTTGCCCTGAAATCTTGTAAGTCTTCCATTTTGTATGTAACGAGTAATATAGATCATTGTTACAAGAGCCGTACTTCTCTGACAGTTATTATCAAGCAGTCACTTATTCTTTATTTTATGCAAAGATGAATCTCTAATTAGTCACTTTCTTCAAATAAAACGGTGACAATTCAACTTTATTTTGCTTTAGTCTGCTTCCCCTTCAGTACAGCTCTATTTGTACAGCTTGCATGAGGTCTTGTTTGTTGTGTGTCACAGACTGTGACTAACAGGTTAATGTTGGGTTCGTTATCAGGGTGTAATCACACACGTACACGTGTACACGCAGGATCTCAGTGTGCTTTGAGATGCGGATTAAGTCTTGCTGGATCGAGTAACTTAAGTAAGAGGTGAAGCAAAAGATCCCATAAAGCCATAAGGAGTTCTGGCAGAGTTAGGAATAACCCATTAGTCTCCTAACCATATTCTTTAGTGTATGATCTGTGCTTTCTATTCAGTTTAAGAATTTATTTGTGTTGTGGCAGCAGTTGAGAATATGTGGAGAACAAAATGAAAGGGTGGCTGCTTATCCAGAAAACTCTAAGGAGTCAGTTTCACTGCATGATGCAAACTAATTTAAAGTTAACTGACCTAGCGTGGATCCTAACAGCTATCTCAAAGCTGCATAAAAGGAATTTGGACTGTGAAGGAGCAAGATATTTAGGCTAAGTGACTTCACTGCCATGTTGGACCATAGCCATAACACGGCATTCAGCAGGTTTACCCATCCTTTATAAGGACCTATTGACCTTGTAAACACAACAGAGATACGCAAATAGAAAATATGATCTTTTATAGAGGCATTTAAATTATTCCAAGCCATTAAAAATACGGAGTCTTGTAAGATGGTTATTTCTCTGAATTCTGTTCAAAGTGTGATATATTTCAGATAGTTCAGCCATCCAGGTGAACAGGAAAAGGTGTGTGAGGAATGAAATGCATACATGACCATCACTGGAAGTCCCCAGCAAGCATGTGGCTTTTGACCCCTAAAC